TTGTTAAAATTTTGAAAATCCAATTAACTTTTCGCTAAATAATGGTCTTAAAAATCAAATTAATTTTAGACAGTAAGCTAAATGAAACCTCAGGAGATACTGGATTGAAGATAGATCGTTCTCTGATTCAGGTCCAAATTACGATCTGCGGATCAATGAATGGATGTATGAATGGGTCCGCCCTATAAACGGGTGTGACGTATGAGTGAGGCAGAAGTCGAATTCTTGGCCAAANATACACATTTTCTCAAGAGCACACATACACTACACACACTAATATAACATTACTGCTATGTATTTCATGCGCCCCAAGTTATTCGTTTTTCAATTTTTTTTTAATTATTATTCTCCTCTATAAAAACGTGGTTTTTAAAAATATAATTTTTTATTTTGAATTTTTTATATATCAATCTCAATCCAGAAAATATTTTTACCATTTCCTGTATAAAAAAAAAGGCAGTCAATGGGTTAAATAAGCTCTGAACTTTAAAAACCGAATCAATATATACCCAAAATATATGTCTATATATAATCGGGGTTCCCATGGACTATAAAAATGTTAAAAAGTAGTAACAATAAGCAAAAAAATCTCAATCATTTAATACATCAGTGAATACCACTATATATTCTTTTTTTTTTCAAATAAATACATTTGTAAAAAAATTCTGTCCGACTTGTCCTCTAAGTGAACGACTTGTCCTCTAAATATATACATTTGTAAAAAAATTCTGTCCGACTTGTCCTCTAACGTAAATTTAATAACTATATTAAATTTTAGGGCCCATAAAAATCCCAGTAAACTAATGGCTATGAAATCCTTGAAATTACATTTGATGAGCGAAGGTGAAATTCTTTATTTATATTTTGAAATGTTTTCGGTTCTCATCCAAATTAAAGTGAAAGAAAAGCAAATATGTAAACACGAATTTAACCGGTTGGAAAACGTTTAGTGTTCACAATAATACTCGTTATAACGCTCCTTTCACGCGATCATATGAAAACAATAATAAAATGAAAATTAAAATACAAACTACGAGCTTAACAATGACCTACATAATTTCTGAAATTCATTTCCTTTTTTTGTAGCTTCCTGAACTCAGTTGGTATTGATTTTTGTTGGTATTGAAAGTTTCAGTTGGTATTGAAAGTTTTGATTTTTTTTCTGTTCAAGGTTGTTGGATATCAGTACAAATTTTTTTTTTATGTATAATTCATATTTCAATGTATAATTCATTGTTTTGTAAATTTGATTTAAAGATATTTTCCACCTCACTGCCTTTAAATGATTCAGAATTTCATATGAAACTCCACTTTGTTCCGATTAGTAATGGTAAAGTTTCTGAGAGCATTAGTTTTCAATTGTCTATTACTCTATTAAATATTTTTTTTAAAATAAAGATTAGTAGTTGTACAGCTCTGATTTTACGATTCCCGAAAACAAGCTGGAATGAAATAATTTTCTGACCAGTTATTCATTTTGCTGTCATCATATAAATAAACTTCCAGCCCTGGAATTTAGTTTTTCTCAGCATCTTATAAAAATTAAAAAGTGAACTCTTACTAGCAAAAGCTTTAATTTAATTAAAAACTGACGAAATATTTATTTTTTAGATTTCACTTTAATCTACAAATAACACTGCTTTTATCTTTAAAATAAAAATTTTTGCTTAAACTAATTTAAAAAATAAATAATATTTCGTTTAAAATAAATATTATTTAGCTTCATCGAAAAAGAGGAAAAAATTATCTAAAGTCTTCTGCCAATATTTTATTTTTAGCACGACGCTGTGATTATAGGAGTATGGATAATGAGTTAATTTCGTCTTAATTTGCTATTTTTGCAAACCACCTAATATCATGTGTTAAAAATATTTAAATAGCGGGGTGGTCAAAATCAGATATATTGAAATAAAAAATAAAGGAAAGAATAAACTTCGCTGGAAAATTTAATAGACGTTCAGTGCTCCGGAAAGCTATCATTTTACCGAAAGAATTTGATCGGAATGTTGATATATTCTAAATGATGATACTCTTGTGTTGAATATTCATTAATTTAAATACGTAAAAGCGATAGAAATGACTGTATTAATGATTAGATATAATAACGTATCATAAATATAACCATTTCCATACTTGCTATGCTCTACGCAACACCTAAAAGTAATTACATTAATATGTATTTGTAGATAATTTTTAACTATATCTAGTTGTTAAAATCCACATACATGACAGCTTCTATAGATGACTAGAAGGATAGATGTTAATTTTATTCAGAAAAAAATTATGATGGATAACACTGGGGAACAATTTCTCTTTTAGTTTTCTGTTTCATGAGATTTTTTAAAGGATCTTGGATATTTACAAGTTTCTGATTTCAAATCTGCAATCGGTTTCACTCTCCAAGTTACAGTTTTTACAGTTATAAGCAATACATTTTAAGTCTATTTATTGTTAAAATGTATGAGTTTAAAGGGGCATTATCATGATTAAAAGTTCATAGAAGCTCATGCTCAGAAATGCGTCGAATGCGGCTTGGCGATTATATTATAATTCAGGAACAAAATAATAATTTTAAGCTTTTAATTTTGAATAATAATCTAAGTCAAAAACGTTATAACTTTCTGAGAATATTCTGAGTATAATAGAATTACTGATAAAGAGCGAAAGTAATTATTGAAAGATATACCTCTTTTACTTTTAATACTTTACTGCAAATTATTAAAATGAATAAATAAATGATTGATGAGCGTAATTTTTTTTAAAAAAATGTAATGAATGTAATAAAAAACAAATAACCTTTATGATTTTAATTAATTTTATGTTTACTGCACCACAAGTTTCAGGAACTTCTTTGTTATTTAATTAACGTGATTTACCACGTGACTTTTTTTCTGGCCCAAGAGATCTCATTTTTTCTGCACGCACAGAAATCAAAAGCTGTTTCTGACCATTATCTATGTACCCGGGATGCCATCTTAGATGGGATGCCTGACCGGGATGTCAGGATTTTTATGCCTTTTTAAAAATTAAAAAACTGAAACTTACAGTATTTTTTAAATTTTGCCAAAAATGTAAATATTACAGCACGGTATCACCGAAACTTAGTGGAGTTAGTGCTTAGTGGAGTACTAAACCAATAATCCTTTGGTACGTATAAAAATGATTTGTTTACAAGGTGGAGTAAGTTGACGACCCTTATGTATCACACAAATTACTTATCACACCTTATGTATCACACCCTTATGTATTACACTACTTTTTACATTAAAATTTATTTTATAATTTCGAATTAAATATTATTAGTTAATCAGGGAAGTCACAGATGACTAAAAATGTAAGAAATGGTAGAGACTATCTATTCATTTTTATTTATTTAACCGATTTAATTATTCAATCAAAATTACTACCATGACTTACTTACATTTCAAATCATTCATATTTAAAGCGACAAAATTCTTTGCATTAGTTTTCAATAGCAAATTGAAATAAATAAATAATGAATAGTTGCAAATTTAAATTTTGTAACATATTTTAGCTATTTATTAGTCATCACTTTTCACATCTTTAGTCACCCGTAGCATCTCAGTCATTACTTGAAAAACTAGTATTGAAACTATTTAATTTCAGCTTTTTTTAAAGGCGAAACATATAATGAGTTACCACTTCCTTTGCTTGATTATAACGTATCTATATTTACCTATATTAAAATATTTTCTAATACAGCAACCAAAAGGTCAGCTGATCAAAATGTGTTACCTCAATTTCTGCAAAGTACATAATGGGTCGAATAAGCTACTATAGTTTCTTCATGCAATTAATTATATTATAAGTAATTACATTACCTATCTACATATAATTCCTTCTACTTAAAACTATCTTATACCAAAGTTAAAAATGAAACGGTTTGAAGCTAATTATTTATCCTTTCCCGTAAAGTTATAATTTCGAATAAGCTTACATCTTCGAGTTTTAACAAGAAAGTTTTCTTCAATATTTAACCCATATGTGGCCAGCGTCTTTTTAGAAAGATGACATCTTCTTTCAAAGGAGAAAAAAGTGGTGGCACAAGTTACTCATTTTTGGATTTGTTTTGCAAAATTAGATAGTTTTTAGTTTACCATAGTATGCTAATTATATATATATATATANTATAATTGGATCAGAAGACATCTTATAGTGCTTTTCTTAAGTTAAAGTGTTAGATAAAATGAACAAATATCCACTTGGTGAAGATAAATATGACCCAAATTAATTATTATTATCTTGGTGTAGATAGATAATATGTAACGACTCGCTCTCCTGTTAGACATTTTCTTAAATGAAAAAAAATTAAAAAAATTTGATTCATAAATTTTTTTCGTTTAGGTCACAAATTTAAAAAAAATAGAGGCTTGCATTTTAATTGCGACCAATTACAACAGAGTTAAAAGTGGAGAGCGAGTCGTTATATATATATATATATATATATAATGCAAATTCAAATCAAGAGTTATTTTGCAGTTTGGGAAGAGTAAATGAGTAATGAATGGGAAAGAAATAGGAATAGTTTGGGGTTAATTTTTAATAACTTCTTAGATTAGAACAGCAGTATAAGAATAAATCTGAAGTAACATTGCGTTGTTGTCACGTTATTGATATGTTATTGCCACTAGAATACGTATTTTCCTCAAAAATTGCTGGATGATAATAGGCATCTTGCGACCACTTAATCTGTTTTATTGACACACACTGTTGCACAGAATTTCATTCATGTGATATTGTATTTATGTATTAATTTGTATTTTACGGTAGTTTGTCTCATGCTTACGTAATCTCTCTTGTTGCTTATGCTCATATTACTTAATGTAATTCTGTAATTCTAATTGGCCATTCTTTTTTTGTTTTTGCAAAATGTTTACTTTTTAATATTATTTGATTATTTATTTAATGAAATTAAAACAACTTAAATGAGGGGGCATAGATGAGAAAATATCTTACAAACTTTATTTTCTTTCTTGCAGTTCTGACATAAAATGTGTTTAACCGATGGATGTGCCTTAAAATACTTGGGGATTGTATGAGGATGCTATCAACTGAAAACGCAACAAAATGTTGCATATTCATTCTCATTTGTGTGTTTGCATCAGCTCATTCTTACGCTGTAAACATCAGAGGTATGTTTTAGTTTATTGATATGTCCCATTTCTTATTTTTCTTCACTATTACTAGTCCTGTTGTGCAAAACATGAATTTTCCGTCATAGATTATAAGCAAATTGCGTAATTCCATTCCGAAAATTGTGTTTTCATCTTTAATGAATGCAAGAAATAGTTGTGAACTTCATTGCGTAAAACAATAGATGTAAACTCTCTTTTAAACATATTTTTTTTTACTTTATATAAATAAAAATTTCAATCCCTAGTTTAATTCTTTATAAACCACCCTTTAACTTCAGAAAAAATAAGTTTTTTTTCTTCAATTATTGAACCCCTTTAATTATTGTTGTATTGAAATGTTAATGCATATGTGAAACGTCTGGTAGCGCAAACTTTTTATGCAGGTATTTTTTTTTTTTTTTTTTNTTTTTTTTTTTTTTTTTGAGTAATAACCTCTAGTTCAGTAACCGGGGAAGTATCTCAAAAGTGGGGCCTCTCTTCCCCCTTTAAACTTATTTTCCACACCACTACATATATATGCTGGATATTGGGGTTATCTCGGCGTTTGGCACGAAGCGCCACTAACCGATTCATCGCTTCTGTTTTGTCGTATTCTAGGAGGTCCTAAATATCTTTGAAGTTGTAGTATGTTCTACATATATATCTAACTAGCTAATCAACTTTTTTCAGAGTACCTATCCATGTATGGATTTCATCTGATCCATTTCATCTAAATTGGATAATATGTGGTGGAAGGGAAGGGAGGTGCTGCGTTAACATTAAGTTAAATCTCAGATGAACAATAATTGATAAAATCAAGTCTGAGTCATACATAAAAATAAGTCGCAAGTTGATACATAATAAAGGGAACAAATTGAAGATAAAGATAAAAAAAAGAAAATTTACACTATTTACAAATTTACAAAAGGGGGAAGACTCCCTGTGCACTCTCTCGCCTCCCACCGGTATAGCCGGGCTTCATTGGTGCAGAGAACACAGTTTGTCTAGGGCAGTGGGGATAGTCATGATTATCCGAAATGCTTAGAGAGAACACAGTCGCTTAAGAAAAAAGCGGTTATCGGGCTGAAATTTTTATTGTCATCTATGAAATCAATGTCTAATAACTTATTGAATTTACATGTTGAACAACTACATATATACTTACTTTACTTTTATTTACAAAAATTGGGCACCTGGGCCTCTTAGCGGCCCCTATCCCATACATCTAGAAATTTACAGAAAATTTATAGTAATAACATTTTGAATTTAGCAGTCGATGTGGTAGCTAATAGAAAAACAAGCACTTTGCTTGAGTAAATATAACATTTGAATATCTGATTCATAACTACATATATATGCAATCATTATATTAATATATATGCTTAATTTTTTTTTAAAGTAGTGGTAGTCAAAAAGATTATAAATTAAGTTTATAAATGCAAGGAATATATAGAACGCATACATTTTACTATACCAACTTATAGAATAAAATTTTGTGTTAAATACGTAAAAGTTGGCAGGTATGTATAGGTGGGATAAAGCCCCCTCTATCCCCCCATGTCCGCGGTCTCCGCCCTAGCTTAAAAGTGATTATAGTATCCCTTTCTTTTACAAGATCTGCTCACACATTTTTCCATTTAAATTTTGGAACATGTCTCTTTTTCAAAATGTTAAAGACTGGTAACTCAAATATTTTGTTCTTCGCACTTGAAAATATAAAATTCCGAATTCCGGAAATAAAAAGACTAAATATTTCTTTCAACACCAAAATCTATTAATTATTTAAAATTATTTATCTTGTGATGTATATGTGACCGGCAAAGTATGAAATGCCGGTAATATATATAATGCCTGACGTTTTTAGGCAAAGTATGAAATATGAGAAGTATTTCACACATTGCCTAGGCATTATATATAAAGACGGATGCTATTTTGGCAAAGTACGAAATAAGCGTCCTGATGAGGTTATTATGTAAATGATGTGCATGTTACTGTGAATGACCGAAATCGGTGGTTGTTGACTTTCACCGGTGAATGTTGACAATCACATAGTCGCTTTGGTGAATGTCCGAAATATTTATTACATCCGATTTGATATTAATTTATTCGTGGATATAATTACATTTATTCGATATTTTAATACTTACTGACGATAGATTAGAAGAAACATCAGTGTTTGGAGTATCGGGCAAATGTATACCGGGCAGTGGCCCTTGACCTTAAAAAAACATCAGTGAAGGGTATACCGGGCAATGGTTTCTTAAGGTCAAGTGCCCGGTATACCCTACACTGATGTTTTTTTAAGGTCAAGAGCAACTGCCCAGCGTACATTTGCCCGGTATACCCTACACTGATATTTTTTTAAGGTCAAATATCATTGCACGGTATATATTTACCCGATACTCCAAACACTGACTTTTCTTCTAATCTATCGTCAGTAAGTATTAAAATATCGAATAAATGTAATTATATCCATGAATAATTTAATAGCAAATCGGATGTAATAAATATTTCGGACATTCACCAAAGCGACTATGTGAATGTCAACAATAACCGGTGAAAGTCAACAACCACCGATTTCAGTTATTCACAGTAACATGCACATCATTTACATAATAACCTCATCTGGACGTTTATTTCATACTTTGCCAAAATAGCATCCGGCTTTATATATAATGCCTAGGCAATGTGTGAAATATAAATCATTTCATACTTTCTCGTCTAGTTTTAGGCATTATAAATAATGCCAAGGCTTTATATATAATGCCGGATTTCATACTTTGCCGGTAACATACATATATTTTGAAATCTAACAGTTGTTGCATTTTTTAGCAAGATTTATAGCTACAAAAGAAAATTTCCATTTAATTTGTATGCAGATCTGCTACCCTGTTTTTCAAAAAAGAACTTCTTCCATTAGTGCGAAATAAGAATCCGGTTGATAAACGATTAAACACTCTTTTGATAAAACGTTTTATTGCTGTGTAAAAACAAAGTAGTTAATTTTTTTTTTAGATAACAGTTAATTTGCAAGAGTGGAATGTAATTTCTGTAAATTTCCGAGTGGATGGGATTCAAGAGACTTCAATTTTGAAGCTATTACGAATTGCTTTTTTTTTCAGTAGTTAATTTAAGCAAACACATAAAATTTTTATTTGAAACACATAAAATTTTTAAGATTTTTAATTAGAATTTAAGAGTTTAAACAGTCGTCTTTCTAAACTTATATCTATCTGTTTAAATGATTTAGTAGTAAACAAAAATACTTTTAATTCTATGTTTAAAAAAATACATTATACGCTTGCTACAACAAAGAAAAATACTTCGTGAAACTACTTAGAATCCATAGTTGTCGTGGGCGATTAAATATTCAAAAAGTGCTGACAACAAACCTGGCAACTTTCACTCTTTCCGAGATCGGATTTTTCAAATGGTAATGAAACAATTCCCGAAAAACAATCTTACTCGAAAATATATTTATATTTTGACCGGGCTGAAACTCGCTATCGCAAAGAGTATTATGCTTTTATATAATTGTTTTATTTTATTATTATTATAATTCAAAATGTTTAATGGAATAACACGAGTTTCTCTACCACTTTAAGTGTGAAAAATAAACCCTTCCGGGAAAATCATAATTGCAGCTATGCTAGTAAAATTCAATAATTTACTAAGATAAATTACAGTTAGCAAATTTTATGAGCATATTTTTTCTCTTTGCTATTCAATGGAAGATCTACCAACTTATGCCTACGTAAATTATAAATCTTAGTATCAGCCGCGCTAGGGACTTTAACCTATTCTTCTGTAGCAGTATACCAAGAGAAGACTTTAACTCAGAATATTTTTGTTTTAAATATAAATAATTTAAAAAAGGTAGTTAAATTATATTTTAATTTCAACTTGATTAGACTTGATGGGTACCTGCCAGCGTCAGCATGTTTTAATTTCAACTTGACTAGACTTGATGGGTACCTGCCTGCGTCAGCGCGCCCTACACACCTTCACCTGAGTTTGACCCTAAGGCAGCTGAGACTGCTGGCATAAATTAATTTCAAGTAATTAAATAGTTTTAAGCAATTAAATTATGTTTTAATTCCATAGGGTAGTTGCGATTGAATAATTAAAGAGATAATAAATGAGAGGGAATTGAGTTTCTACCATTTTATACATTTATCTGTTATCTGTGGCATCTGCAGTAGTTAGTCTCTGGGATTCTAAAATATTATTCAGATTTAAGTTAGTCTATTTTAGTTTGGAAATGCAACCCTATTAATATGCCAAGTTTTAGGATATTTTAAACTTTATTCAGTTTATTCGGCGTAAATTTTATTTATTTATTGTTTAATTCTTTTTTAAACGTTGATTTATTTCACTTTGCTTAAATTGAAATCTAGAAAATTTTTATTTGAGTTTTACTCTTACAGAATTCTTTTAATAAATTTAAAACTAATAAAATTTCAATTAATTAAAATTAGTTTCAGTACTTCCTTTTAGTTGCGCAGCTATTTCATCATGAACTGTAGTGTTAGACATTTTTGCTTTTTAACTTACAAATCTAAAAAGTGCAGCATTTGAATACAAATATTTTAACACAAGTCTACAGATAAACTTCTAAATTTTTTCAAAATGATTCAGATGAATACTCTGTTACTGACCTAATAAGTACCTAAAACAAACAATGGATATAAGTTAATTGTCTGCCATTTGAAAGATAATAAATTTTTCTGTAGTTTCATTCAAGTACTTTTTAAAGTGCCATAACGCAGTTATTCTAGAACATGTGGGTAATTCCAGGAAATATATTTATGACTCTTACCATGTTTATTATTAAGTGTTAATATCGTATATTTTGTCCCTTAATAGCATAAATAATGACTTACAAATGCCCATTTATTTATCTAATGAAATAAAATGGAATGTAAAGTGCGTTAACATTTCCTCTTCTGTTCCAAATGTCAAGCTCTAAAATCTATAATTTGAGTTTTAACAATGAAATCATTCGTTTGGTTAGCTGTCTAAGAATTTAATCGCTTTTTAATCAAACAGGATAAACTGGAATTAAATTACAGAGTTCGTTTTGCAACAGATAACGAAACATTTTCACTGCCACATAGTAAACTAGTGATTTAAAGAGATAGTCATGGGATTCCCAGTTTAAATGCATTTTTCCTCTTCCGCGTCAACAATAATTTTTTAAATTAATTTATTATAAAATTAAAACTTTTGATTCGTAAAATATTAAGTAAAGGCTTTATTATTTCAAGGTATTGTTTATTGGAAACTTCTTCTTTTTTAGTTATTTTAGCCGGGCACCTGGGCCACGAAGCGCCCCCTATCCCATCCATCGTGAGTTGTTTAGCATTATGTGAGTTCTTTGTGGTCAGCAGGAAGTGTGGCAGCTATGAGGGGGATTCAAGCACCTTGCTTGAATAAATAAAAAATAATGAAAATAAAACAAATCAGCTTGTTTTAAACTATGTGTGGGCTATAGAACTGGATGCAGGTTGGTGGTCTATGAGCTTGATAGATCTTTCAATATTGATGTTGGTGAATCTGATACCATAGGTGGATCTGTGATTAAGAAATTTGTTGAGGCTATTATTTATTTTGTTGATTGTGATATGAAGCGTCGGGTGTAAAGTGAACAGCTATTGGTCTGAATTTTGTTTGTTAATAAATTTTATTGAGTTTTAACACGGTTACTTTTTTAATGTTTTTCCCCATATTAAGTGGAAACACAGAGATTCAAGCTACTACAAAATATTTTAAAATACGGTTTTACAAACTATAATTTGCAGATTTTCGGTTAATTATGCCAACTTTTTAAAAAGCTCGACACGGCTTAGCTGTAACAGAGGACAATATCGCATAAGCCTTTGAAATATTTAGAAGTAATAGTGAGTAAAAACCATATACGTCAAATTTACTGAATCCAGAATCATACATTAAAAGATTATCATGTGAAAATATTCACCCACTGTCGGGAGCAAGTTAGCATATTTGTAACTGTAGTCATAGTCATGGTCTTATGATTTCTCAAGGCTCTTAGGCCCCGAAGTGGTCTTCTACCTTTTCATATTGATTTGATATATCATGTTGTATATTCAACATGAATTTTTTAAAATGACAGGACAAATTAAAAGGGGATAATATAATCTTAAAATAAAAATAAGTTGAAACAGTTTGCGTAATTGCAGTAAAATAATCGGAATCGATTGGCTCAGGAGGTTGACCAATCACTTGTAGTGTTATAAATTAAAATTATAGGTACGCATAATTGATAGCTATGCGAAGATAGCCCCCGAAAATGAGGAAACTCAAAAATTCAAACTGCATTCGTTTGACCATTTTTTGACCACAAATGACCACCCTTTAAATTTTTTTGACCACCCTTATTTTGGACATAATCCTGAAAATTAAATTCGGGGGCTAACTTCGCATTTTCACGCCAAATGAATAAAAATCAAATTTTTATATTGTATTCGTTTGACCACTTTTTGACCACAAATGACCACCCTTTAATTTTTTTTGACCACNGCCCAACAACACTCTAATATCAAAAATTTCCAGAGTACAAAAAATAAAGTAAATAAAAGAAATATCAAGAAAACGCAAATCAAAAATTACAAAAAGGCCTCTTACATCTTACATCTCAAGTCCGTGTGCCTTGATATGTGTTGATCAAAGTCTGCTTTTTCTTTCAGATGTGAACCAAGGAGGAAATTTAGTCATGGAACCCGAAGAAGCAATTGTCTATCCAGGACGTAACATAACTTTCACTTGCACCTATCATTCAAATTTAACTTTCATTTGGGATTTCACGTCTATGATTCAGAATTATAACTTCGTCGAGGGCGCTTATCTTTCATCAAAAGACCATGTTCTATACTATAGTAAACTCAACATTTACTCAACGACTCGTCTTATGTCTGGTGAAATCACGTGCTCGATTGCCGAAGACAAAGCGAAAGCAGTAGCCTTTTTAATAGTAAACGGTAAGTTCGAATTAACTAATACCCTAAGTATATTCTCAAAATGCAAAAAGACGATGACAACAAAAATGTTTAAACTTCGGTTAGATTACTTTATTTTCGACAGTCAATGTCCAACTCCATAGTCTTGTAATTTTGAACCCAACCCAGAAGGCAGGGGAGCTCGTGGATCAAACTTTAAGGGATGAACTAGTTTTCGTGGAGGACTTTTTGATAGAACTAACCCGCATTCACATTACACGCAGAGGAAAACCACGAAAATCTCCCATGGTTAGCCCGACAGCAAAGCGATTCTAAGCTACGATCCGTCTACCGTCACCTCCCTGGAAGGTGAACGCATTATCCCTTCAGCCTGGTTAGATTATGATCTTGAATATTACAAATTTTGTCTTTTAAAATAATTTATTTTAATACATATTATTGTACACAATATACCTTATTTTTAAGACCAATGCTAATAAAACCTCTCTCTACTTTCTGCGCCTATTCAGAGAGGAGCCTCCTAGTGAATTCAGATTAATCCTTCCAGCCGAGAAGGTAGAAATTCACCTCTTTGTATTGGTGTGAAAAGTATCATTGCATTAAAATAATACTTCCTTTAAACTAAGTGTAGATTTTCTAATGCTAGTTATTATCAACTATATATTATCAGAAAGTCAACTACTCCACTTTCTGAAAAAATATTTTAAAAGTTGGAGATAAAAACTTTAACACGCTTTCTTATGGGGATATTTCTTAATCCCCTCCCACTTTCTAACGTGGTAAAACTACAATACTTACGTCAATCTCAGGAGAGAGGCGAAAAATCAAAGAACTGACAAATATTTTTAAAAAAAAGGAAACCAGTTTCTTTTAAAAATAACTGCAGGGTTTATACGGGGCTTACACTGTTAAAAAATACCCGTAAAATTTACAGTTTTAAACTGGAAGCTGGGTTGGTTGTGCAAAATCGTAAAATTTACGAAATGAAATCCGGTTACCTCAATGGTTTGTTATCACACAAGAGCAAGTTTTTTCCGTAAAAATTGCGAAGAAAATCCGTTATCAAACTGGCTTGTTACGGTAAAAAAGAAAGCTTTCACTATAAAAATTACAAATAAAAATTAACCTGCTGTCTCAACAGACTTTTACCATAAGGGAAGAAGTTTTCTTTGTGAAAGTGACGAAATGAATTTGTACTCGAGATGTGAATATTTGACGTCACCAGACTTTGTATCGACCAGTCATTGCTTGAATTCCAGCCTGGATCACTTTAATGAGAGGCAAGCGCTCTGACATTAAGGCCTTTGCGGATAAAGTGTTTTATTAAGAGGAAATAGTGATAGTGAGAATTTCACTTCAATGTTATATCAATCCGACAATAAAGTCGAATCTCAGTTTCATTTATACGATGTTCAGAACCATAAAGTAACTGCTAAAAATAAGGGCAAGCACAGAAAATAATCGTAAAATGATTGCGGAAGACAAAACTGCATGACAAAAAACTAAAATTTCCGCTGACGGTACAGTTTTAATCAGTTTGTGATTAGGGTGAAAAGCCGTTTAGCCAACAAAACGGATTTGAACTGTTAAATATACAGAGAAATTCCGAAAAAGTGGTGACGATATTATGATAAAGATATTAAGAAATTTATGTGCAGTAATTTATTAGCTTTCACTTTAAAATTAGAAATTTGAAACTGGGATCTTCACAACTATACGTATGTGTATTTACACCGAAGAGCCATTACATTATGACCACCCTCCATCTATAACAATGGGCTCGCTCAGGTTTTCACGGTTTCTCGCCCAGGAACAATGTTTTCATGGGGCTCATTAGGACCCATAATCCTCATAGAACAATCCCTGACGTCTGTAAGCGACTTGAACATAGTTGCAGACCAGGTTCACCCATTCATGGCATCAGTTTTTCCTGCGGGGGTTGGTGTTCACCAAAAGGATAATGCACCATGTCATAAGGGTAGAATCGTCATGGATTGTTTCGAGGAACATTCCAGTGACTTTCAAGTCATGTCTTGGCTCCCAGATTCACCTGACCTTAATCCAATAGAGCATTTGTGGTCCTACTAGGAAAGTCAAGTTCGTGCTGCCACGTTACCCCCTCGCAATGTGAGGGAATTGCAGGACCAGTTGGTGAGCGCTTGGTACCTCAGACTACCTATCAGCACCTTGTGGAATCAATGCCACGGCGGGTGTTAGCAGTTTTGGGGGCTAAAGGCTGTCCTACATGTTATTAGCAGGGTGGTCATAATGTAATGGCTCTTCAGTGTATTTCGACGCATTTAACACGGTGGTAAATGCGAGCTTATTAAAATGCATCTTATTTTCAAACTTTTACTATCGATATTAACATTTTTAAGGACTGCACGAACGCGGTTACAATTTTAATTCAGTACCATTGAGAATTTTTTTCTCTCAAAATTTGGAAATATTTAGGAGTTTGGATATTATTATCACATTTCAATTGCACTAACTCTTAATGTGTGTCCTTTTTTTTTAAATGTGTGTCTTCTTCTAATAATAAGAACACTTTTTCTTAATTTGGATAATGGCTCACAAAATGTGGTTTTGAAATCTTTTTATTTAATTTTTCTTTCTTGTTTGAAGGTGTTAGAAATGGAGGTTCCTGTCAAACATCATCTGATTGTGTGACGGACAAATCCGTTTGCCAGAATGGACTTTGTGAATGTCCCCTCAACCATGTACGCCTGCATGTGAAAGACAGAGGCTATGATATATGCAGGGAAATGAGTAAGAGTATTATTTATTTTTATATTTCATAATTTATTAAAAATATTAAGTCTTAAGCATTTTGTTTTAATTTATATAATGTTTTGAAATATTTGAAAGCAGTAAGAGCTTGTACTTTATAACTTAAATTTTTGAAATGCCATAGTAGGAGTGAAAATTTCTCGTTTTATCGAAAAACAAGCATAAAAATATCTTAAGACTTCTGTTAATACTTTATTTTTAACAGGACGCTGCAACCCCTATTTAGCTTCCTATATAATACTGAAATTGGCTGGTTTGCACTGAAAATCTTTTAATAAAACTCTGATTCAATAAAAATTTGATATTTGTGCATACCTTCCAACGTATGAGATCTGTGGATATTATTTTTTCAAGTGTTAGAAAGCTAAATTTGTTATAATTTAAAATCATGACCATTTGCTGACCTTTTATATATGTACTTAAATGTAATGTTGGGACAAAATTGTTAAAATCTAATTTGTTAAACTATTATCATTTATTAAACTTGATACCGCTAGAAAAGTTAATTTCTGAAACTGCGGAAATTCCATGGTTGTTGAAGTGTTCTTATTTGTATCTCAATAATAATTAATAAATACTTTTCTGTTTTTGGAGAATAATTAAATAAATTAGGCAGTATCGTCGTAAACTCCTATTTATGTCAATAACTTAATCATAAGTGGAAAAGTTACTTTGCTGAATGTAATGAAGTTTCTCAAAAACAGACATTTAAGTGGAATGTATTGTCTGTCTATGAAAATAAATCCCCTCACCATTTGTCATGAGTAATGGCATTGACTAGGGTTACGAGCTTTAACTATAGTAGGGGTGTTGGGTCAAGTAGTACAAGTAGGGATGTTGGATCAATATTTAAGACAGGTATACGCTCCTGTCAGTGAGAGAATCAGGGAAGAGAGAAGCTTCCTTGTTTGAAATTAGATATTTCTTGTTTCTTTTGCAGCTGATGATCTTAAGGCCTGTTTAGACGATCCAATATCTTGGACAGAGATTGATTGATATTGATGGAATCTTGTTTTGCTTTGAGCTTGGATCGTGTAAACAATCATCCACGAACTTGGTCCAACTTCTTGGACGATAGTAGAGNCATCCAAGAACTTGGTCTAACTTCTTGGACGATAGTAGAGCATGTTCTACTTTCCATCCAAGTTTTTTCTCCCTTAACCAATCAGCGTCTTAGATTTTGTGACGTCANCAGTAGGGATGTTGGATCAATATTTAAGACAGGTATACGCTCCTGTCAGTGAGAGAATCAGGGAAGAGAGAAGCTTCCTTGTTTGAAATTAGATATTTCTTGTTTCTTTTGCAGCTGATGATCTTAAGGCCTGTTTAGACGATCCAATATCTTGGACAGAGATTGATTGATATTGATGGAATCTTGTTTTGCTTTGAGCTTGGATCGTGTAAACAATCATCCACGAACTTGGCCCAACTTCTTGGACGATAGTAGAGCATGTTCTACTTTCCATTCAAGTTTTTTCTCCCTTAACCAATCAGCGTCTTAGACTTCGTGACGTCAACAAGCAGGCAGCAAATTATGTCATTTTGTTCTCTGTTTTAATATATTTTAGTTCAAAAAAATTTATCTGTTGCGGTTTATTTGTGTTATTATGATTTTATTTGAATTTATTTAGTAATTTTAAACTTATGTAAGTATTATTTTATAATGTTGAATATGAACAATGCGCATGCGCAAGTTTTTCTTTCGACGAATCAGTGCCATACAAAAACTTGGATAGTGTCGACGAATCATTCAATTTCTTGGACAGAGAAATTCCTCCAATGTCTCGGATTCAAGAACTTGGACCGTGTAAACAGGCCTTTAGACTTTGGGGAGAGGGGAGTTCTTTCTTTAGACAAACTATAAACTGTTATTCATATTTCATTTCCTTCCTCAAATAAACTTACATTTTATAGCCTTAAAATGACCAATAATTTTAATTTTAACGTTATTTGTCTATCTCTCATACACATACTTATATCAGTTTACAGTCTCTACGATCCTTGCGAGTATGATGAACAGTGTGCTCATTTGGTGGATTCCAGATCTGTCTGTAAATCTGTGTGCGTATGTGCACCCTGGGCACGTGACATAAGAGGGCGATGTGTCCTAATTAGTAAGCATTGTTATTTATTTATTTACATTTAAAAAAAATGCTTGTACTAATGTATATTAACATACAAAATATTCATTTTGAATTCCCTTACCATTTTATTAAAGATTGATCTAAGATTATCTAAACGAAAGCTATTAAATAAAATTTTCTCTTACAATTAGTTGTATTTACTTAATTTAATACTTACTAATATTATTTGATTAAAAAACTTCAAAAATATGCAGAATGGAAATAACTGCCGATATGTTTTAAACACTCTAAAAAATTTGCCCATCTTCCAGACTTACCATGCGTGAATGAGAAGAAACAAAAGTGATTTGAAATATAAAACGCAAAGTTGACCAATTAAAAATGTGAAAATTAAGATGAGAAACAAAACTAGCAAAACCTCGAGAGTATAAAAACAGAACAAGAAAAATCATATTAGCTGATTTGCCCCATGTCACCACTTTTTATTATAATTTGAAAATAACAACGTCACGATTTATCAGTCCAACAGTGACCTTGGTTTGGAGAAGTTCTAAATTGGTTATAATATGGAATATGTTTCCATTTTTCTACTATTTGAGTTATAAGGGAAAGAACTCACTTATTTGTGGTAGTTATCTTAGCATCAGCTCCGCGAGGGGCTCCAACTAATTCATCTGAGTGGGAATGTATAATAAATCGTCGAAGCGCAATTGAATGGTGAAAGTTGGGGTTCAGTAACATTTACTGAGAGAAAATTATAATAAAGTAGCGAGATTAAACAAACACATTTAAGAGAGGGAAGAGGTTTTTGCGGCAGACTACCTCGCCTCCTACCGAGGTATTACCCCCGAGCTTCGCATAAGAGAAAGAAAAATAAAGTGTAAATCAATATACATTTTTTTATTATTTAAATGTCGTGGTAATAACGAAAGTTCCATCGTTTTATTTGTTCCTAAAGTTGATTGAAAGCAAAGAAATTTCGATAAATATTTTTATTATTTCAAATACTGTACAAAACCTGTGTATCGATTTTTAATATATCTGGTCAGGGTTTTCTTAATTTTTTCCTACCATTTAACCCTTTCGAAGGCCGTGGTAAGTATACTTACCACCAATTTTTAAAGCCCACGGTGAATTTTTTTACCACTTTCAATTTAGGTTTCCATTTGCTAATAACTTCAGCTTTGTTTAGTTTGAATAAAATTGGTAGCTTAAGAAAACGCGTAAAAGTAGAAGTCTGTAGCATTTATAGAATTTATTTTATAAATAACTAAAAATAAAAGTCAATAAAATCCTAATATGCCGTGGTAAATATACTTACCACCAAAAAAAATGGCATTAAAATGTAGATTTTTTTTTTATAAACTAAATAAGTTTTTGTTTTCTTATATCAATTACTATTTTTATATCGATTTCAATTCCAAAAATACTTTAATTTACCTTTAGTAGAAATAAATGGCCCATTAAAGGGTTAATACCTAAAATTAAATGTAAGCATGCAATAATTGCGCGAAATTATGAGAACATTGTCGACTGCCAAATTTTTTAATAATGCGTTTTTACTTTTAAAGGTCTGTAAGAATCTTAAAAAATTGTACACATTACATAAAGACAGCGTTGCAATCTACTACGCTCTTTGCGAAATATTTAATAGAGTAAACAATTAAAATAAAAGCCTCATCGAGAGAGAATTGGAACAAAGTGCCGCTGTTATTGAACTTTCGAATCATTCAGCATGTAGTGGTGTAGAAAATAGTTTTAAATCAAATGGACTTAACAGAGAATCATAGATGTTTCCTACCAGGCGTAGAAAGTTGGCAGTTCTGCATAAAGCTGTAGCTGTCTTTTTTTAAATACAAATTTGGTGAACGATAACGTCACCATTTATAACATAGGAAACTTTTAGTTGCTCTAAACTCATAAAATGTGTGTTAAAAAATATTGATGTGAATTCAGCTAAAAAAAAATTGTGTATTTGAAAAAATGTTTTTTTAACGTATAATATTTTCTTAATTTGAAATACAGATATTAAAAACAAACGAGTTTAATTAGGTACTTGTATTTCAAGAAGAAGAAGAAGATAACGGATACCCCCCACATATGACCTATGATGTCAGCTGATCATTTATTAGCAAAATGACTTATTAAAGTTAACCTAAGTCTCCATACAAGTTAGAATGTTAATTAACGAGAAGTTAGTTTAAACAGTACAGTATCACCTATCGAATTTCTTGAAATAGAATTCTTTATTGTCTACATCTTTTACTTAACTTAGATTTATTATTTGTTTAGGTATTTTATTGAGACCGTAATATATTTTTGTTTTGTGTACCTGACAACTTTGATGCGTAATTAGTTGGTTTTATATTCCATATGGCTTTGTGCCTGTCTTTGTATTAAGTGCGAAATATATTGTGAAGGAATTGAAATCATTGTAAAAGAATATAGAATGTGTCACTTAAAATCAATACTTAACGGCATTGGCTTACTTGAAATAGAATGTAAAAAACAATACATTACCATAAAATTTTAAAATTATTATTAATGGAAAAGTGCTCGATTCTGTTTTGAGACACATTTATATTTCGATACTTATGAAATATAATAGATTCACAATGTATCTACATATAATTCCGAGAACTTTTTTGTGTTAAAGACATTTCTTGTGTTTCTTTCAGGTGAAATTGCGTACAATCGAAGTCAAGAGATGTACAGAGTTGGATTAATCGCCGTGACGTGCATAATTATTCTTATTGTTGCAGTATCACTGTGGGTGACACTCCGAAAGTAAGTCAAAATTTATGCATTCACAAACTTTAAAAATAATGAGTGTGTGTGACTTTTTTTTTTTGTTGTTGCTCCTACTCCTACCTGTCAAATTTTGCACTTTCCAAAATCGATCTTCCGAAGCGGTCGTGAAATGAGAAAGGAAAACTCAATTTTATACAAAAATATTTAGCTGGAGCTTAATCACACCTTCATGCACTTTATTTCACTCATCAAATCCATGAATTGTTCACTCGGAAGTAGGTGTCCAGAGGGCTCCTTGGCTCGGGGCAGCAATAGACGAGAACAAGCTGTCATTACTCGTTTCTTCAGTGGACATCTGTAATCAATGATTTATAACGATGGTATAATAAGCACTTCGAAATCTGCACTAAGTGTTCTGCTGCCCAGGCCTCCCCTGACCACATTTTATCTTGTCTGGAACTTACCACGCAGGACCTGGTTCAAGCTCCCCTGCTGGTGCTAGACTTTCTTAGAGTGAACGAGCTCATGGACCTGATCTAGCTCTGCTGGTCATGGGGATGAGAACAACAACAACAATTCATCAAATGGAGCTGAGTACCTGAGCCAAACATGACCGTTGCCCAATCATCGTGTCCATATTAGTCAGTGACGTAGATAAATTACATAAAAATGTAAAGAGTTTCATATAAGAAAGGAGAGGATATCCTTGTTTCTTTTGCTTATTCTGTAAGGTTTGTTGTAGTAATGGAAGAATTCAATAAAAAAATATGATGTCTTAATTACGTCATATCGCTGAAAGAGTGTGCCGCAAAATCATTAGAAATTTATGTATTCATATGTTATTCATTCTTAAGCAGTAGTAGATAAGATAACTTTAAATTAAATTTACAAATTTAAAAATAAGTTTTTTGAACTGAATGAAGTAACTTTAAATATGAAAATGAAATCTTCCGGAAACTCCGAAAGAATTGGTAGGTATGCAGACTGTGTTCCTTTTTTAACTCATTAACATACCTTTTAACATTTGAGTTTTATGCGAAATATAGTGCAAGCTAAAGCCGAAATTTATAAAACAATTAGAAAATTCATTTTATGACCTTTATCAGGACTTTTGAGCATAGCCTATTCAATACCAGCTTACTCTTTCGGATTCTCTGGAAGATTTTATCTCTTTATTTAAGATGATAGATTCATGCATTCAAACTCGATTCCTGTTTTCACAAATTTAATTGAAGGTACTTTAAACTACCACTAACTTTAAATAGGTTAAGCAATCATAAGGAAATGCCGCTTTTTGCCAGAGTTTTATGAATAGGTAGCGAATTAAGTATAGTGAAGCTTGAAGAATAAGGATAATTACGGCCACTTTTTATAAGTGTCATCATGAAAGTTAACATTAAAATTGCATTTACTGTAATTTGTATTTTTGATATGCAGTTGTGGAAAAATTAATTATAATGAAAAATACTAAACTAAAAATAACTTCCTTACCACTGTAAAATATTTTTTTACAAAGCGAAGCAAGTTGGCATCGCTGTTAATGAGTTTTAAGTTCTGGAAAAAGGCGAACTAAGTATTTGCCAACAATATCACTTCAATAGTTATTTCAATTCCACTGAAAATCAAATTGATGAAAGAAAAATTGATTTAAAAAAAATTATTTAAGAACTTACTTTATTTGCATTTTTAACACATTGCATGCAGGCAACTTTTCCAAAAAAAAATTTTTTTTTACAGCTGTTATAGATTAAAATTTTAAAAAAGTGATAGGCAAGATTTATACAAAGTTAGAGTAAGCTTGTTTCTATAACTACAACTTCAATTTTAAATAAATATATAGTACTGACTACATCTATACTTAATAATTTATGTTATGTGTTTTATCATGAATGGATCATTTCTTTGAGAATAGAGCGTATAACGAAATAGTTTTGCTACCACTTTTTAAACTTTTGTATGGATAGTAGAAATTTCAAAAAACTATTTTCACGTGACCCGCTTGCAATGTGTTAAAAGTAATACCTTGAACCATGAACAAAAAATATCTCAACCATTTAATAGTATCTTTTTCAGATCTTGTCAAGACCAAAATTTGGATGGTCAAAGAAGATCAATAACGCAAGCAGATTTTGATTTCCCTACAAGATTTTCAATAGATCTCACATCTGACAAACCACCCTCTTACGATGATATTCTCGTTAAGGAAGAAGAAGAAGAAAATAAAGTGAGTTTATCAATTTCACAGTAAAAACGGTGTCATTGTAAAACAATAAACGAAAATAATCTTGCACTATTTTGTAAGGAATCATGTATAAAGTTACACAAAAATACCCTTCGAATTTGTTATTTGGACAAGGTTCATTATAAATTATGTTTCTTTCGCAAAATGCATTCCAAAATCTCAAACTTTGCAATCTCCGATATTTTCGGAGCATATTTTTTACAATAATTAAAGAATCTACAATAATTAATTGAATTAAGTAATTTCTACTATAATTAATTTAATTAATATACAAAATTATTCATGATAAATTATGCTTCTTTCGCAGAATGCATTGTAAAATATCAGATTTTTCGTAATCCCCAACAGTCGGAACATATTTTCTACAATAATTAAAGAGGTTAAAAAAATCAGTAAGACTTATTAATATTTTTTTTAAAGTTTAGTTGACACTTAACGGGTCATATACATACTAACGGGACTAGGCGTCCACAAATCTTAAAATATATGCTCAAATATCCTCNATATATATATATAGTTTAATTATAGTTTTTTTTTGTGTTTGGTTTCATAACTTAAAATATCGTCTTGCACTAACTAATTAGCATATTTGAGACCCCCCCCCAAATCGTAGAAATCCTATCATTAGATCAAAAGTTATGCTCGTGTGTCCGATTTTTATTTTGCGCACTGTTCTTTGCTTTTTCAGTTTTATTGGTATCAACTATGATTTTATTACTTCTGTTTATCGAATTGTATACGTTTTTTTTTTAATTTTTATTCACGATTTTTAGTTCTTCTTTTTTTATGTTACCTATTAATATGACTATAGCTTATCATTGTTTGTTTTTTGTACCAATTGATGATAAATTCTGTTAAATTTATGCATAGAATTAGATTCCTTATTTATCGCATATAGTTCTGCAGTATTATTCAATAAATTAGGATGCCCATCAACGCTTTAAGTAAAACGGAAAATAAAAATAATAAAAAAAGGAAAAAATTGTGAACACTTTATTACGATCACTGGCTACCAATTGGTCAAATGAATTTTTTTTTTTTCTGGTTTGACTCCGATAAACGCCACAACATTTCAAATCATGGGTTGCAAAAGCTGTCTCAATTGATGTTTGTAGTCGGATAGGTTTTGAAATCCTGCCTATATCCACGTTTCAAGACGTCACCTTCCTCCTTCAGTATTCGTATTTATATTAAAATCACCGTCAAGACAGTAATTATAAGTTAATAATAAAAAATATATAAAGATTATTTAAATTATATTATTATGTAATTGCATTAAAAATGCTTACTGGTGAAAATAAAAAGAAAAAACTTACTAACTTAATGCATAACAAAATTAAAAATGAAAAAAAGAATTCTAAAAAAATTATCAAACGGCAGTGGTCACCATAACAACGCATGTAAGGACGACGCATGCGCATTGTTTACTATTACTTTTGAACACAGTGGAAAAGTGTGAGGACATCCAATGGGTAATTACTACGCTAAAATTAACGAATGGAAACTCCATACTCTTCTGAAAATAATTTCCTCAAAAAATAAACTAATAATCATGTACTCTTTATTTTATTTTTGTCAAACATGTGTTAAGTGTCAAAACTGTAAAAATTTTTAATTAGTTATGAAGTTAATTTGATGAAGATTATTCTGCATTTGATATTAGTTTTCCATTAAAAAGAAATCTTTTTTGAATATATAAATTAATATTTTCCTTAAGTATAGGTACGTCCTTAAATCATAAAGTTTGTCAAGGACTCACAGCAAATTTTTCCTCGAATCATGGTTCAGAAATAAAGTCATTTTATGTATATATGCGTTAGAATTATATTTTATGACTTTTCTTTCAAAATTACATTTATTTGACTAAAACGAAAAAAAATTATACATTTTGCTATCACTTGAAAATATCTTTCGGTTAAGAAATTAGAACGCATGTTTTTTGAGACGCGTCATCAAACTTTACAACTTGAATAATTCAATAATACAATTCGTCAGTTGAATAACGAATATTATTTAATTTTATATTATGTAGCACTAAAAGTAAATTATGGAAGTTAGATGTTTAAAAGTATTATATTTTAATAAATTTTATTTTAATCTAAGGTTGGTTTTATCCAGCCACTTTTTTAAGTGATTTTTAAATAAAATGAATTTGAATATCTCCTTTTCGAGCAATTTTATACCTGAAAGTGACGTTTCGTAGGTAAATCGGGGCATTTGTCCATTCAGAAGCCAATCAGATTCCACACACGCGCGTGACGTCACTTACAGGTATCCACTTAAATATGATCTAAATCACATGGTTAGTCATTATCATGCTATTTCTTCTCACGCTGCAAGTGCCCAATTAACTTATTTGAAATTTAAAGTTGATTGAACTTTGTTTTTCTTTTTCAGATTGCGAATCCCCCCAATTTCAAAGATGCTCTAAAGCACTGCATGACGGCTAAAAGATTACTCAGACAAGTTTCAGCTCCAGCTGGAGTCGTACTTCCGACGGATTCACCGATTTTGAAAACTGAAAGCAAAATAAACAAAGAAGTTTAAATCAGAAACAAAAGCGTGGCGTAAAATCTCTCCAATTTTGTCGTACTAGGGCACCTATTATAAATATATAAGATGGTAAATTTTGTTGCTTCCATGTGTTTTAGCAATCGGTAGTTTTATGTGGAGTTTGAACAGTAAAAAATATTGTTTATATAATAATAATAATAATAATTTTATTGTGAATGCTGTTTGTTTAGAAGCAGTAATGTTATTCAGTGAGTTTTGGTACGAGTCTACTTCTTTGAAAACATGATAATCACTGATGTTTGTGCAAGCAGTTCTACAAGAGCGTTTTTGTATTGAAAAAGAAAAGCCAAAATATGAAGGGGAAAAAATATTATTGCTAATTCATTTCACGACGAAAATTTTATTTTTTGTATCATTGTGAAAGTTTTCTCATTCACATCCGAGCTGCAAATATTTTTGAAGCATTTCGCCTCTTCGGGAGTAGCGAATTATATATGCATTCTCAGGGTGGCGACCACCAAAGTAAAAAATGTATAGTCCAAACTATTTCTTAAACAGATTATTTGTGAGGGAGAAATTAACAGCTTGATAACCGATTAAAATCACCACTATTTAGTTCAAAACAAAAATTATTAAGTTAGATTTCAAACTGACGTTGATTAGATATTTTAGAATTAAAGTAAAAGCAAAAAGAAGTCTGTTAAATTAATTTTCCCTACATTTAAGCTACCGCTTTTTATTTATTTTTTTCAATCTGGTTCTACACGAATGCATCTATGACTTGCCCATCCCAAAAAGGTTAAGCAAAAACATTATGTTTGAAATTACTTTACTGTACTACACTGAACAACTAAGATGTGTATTTATGCTTATATCCGGCATATGATTGTTAACACTTTCTAGAAAAGTGATATTTAAAAGTGATGAGAAAAGAAATTGTAAATATATGAATAAAAGCTGTTATTTGTTGAGTTTTATTTTTAACTAATAAATTTTGTGTTGTTTTCTATATACATTTTTAATAAAAAAGGGAGATTTGTTCCTCGCGCTACACGTTAAAACGTCAGATAAGGTCGATTAGCTAAGCGGCGCTTTTGTAAGATAGAAAAACAAATAATCTTTTTAAGATCGAACAATTTCATTTCTACTTTAAATTAAGAAGTAGTAAAATATTTTTGACCTCGAGTTATAAGCAGTTATATTGGTTGTTGCTGTTGTCTTATGCAAATGTCAATACTAATAAGTCTATTTTGAAGCAAAGAGGTGCTTTTCTTCTTGTTTTCCAGTGGCGCCATCTATCGCCAAAACTCGACTTCTGCCTCCCACATACGACATGGCCCGTTTTACAAGTAGGACACATTCACACACCATCCACACATCTGCAGATGTGTGGATGGTGTGTGAATTTTACCTGATACCAGGTAAATTCAATTAAATCAATTTTTACCTGAACCAGAGCATGATAAGTCTCCGATCCGGCACCCCCAGAGTTAAGGATGGGACCTGGGAGGTCTTTGTTACTCCAACAGATTTAGCTTGCACCAGCCACCATTTTCTACACGGGGAGTCTTGGGCCTGCGGAGATCGACATCTCTTTCTCTATGACATGGGCCCAACGCCCTACCAATCAGGGTATCCCGGCCTGAGCTGTTATATTTATATTAGTTATATTGTTTGTTAGAAATCTCACAAAAGTAAATAATGTTATGTATAAAAAAAATCAGGACTAATAAAGAACAGCCTTCCGAAACAAATCAATAATTGTAGAAATAATTGAGAAACAATTTACAGAAATCCTAAAGGTCAGCCTAAAATATTCAAGTTGTAGTAAAGTTGCCATCAAAGCAAGTTCAAATTTTCATAATTTAGCAACCACTTAAATTTACATAATTTTCATCATGCGCGTACTTTCTCTCTACGTAATACACCTCTTTAGATAATTATTGTGATCGAAAATTGATTATTGTGTGAAAGTAGAGCAAAGTTGGTATCTCTGGCGAATGTTGAAGGAAAATTTTGTCTCTCGTGCAAAGCATCAAAGATAACTAATAAAAAATTCTTTAAGTTTTCTGACGATATTTAATGGTTACTATGCAATGATTTTGCCCGAAGAGAAAATTTTCTCTAATCAGTATGAAAAATTTCTCATAGTTCAAGGTTGCAATAATCTAGAAATTTTTTTAAGTTAAGGAATCTGTACATGAATGCAAAAAAAACTCAGGAAGGTTTTTGTTCGGCTCGGTTGGATACTTGAACGCAACATCATCGTGCTGCAACGTTAACCCGCTAATCGCAACCACGTGATTTGGCCCAATCACGTGATTTAAATCACATGGTTGATCTTAAACACGTTTTCTTCTTAGCGGGTTGCAAATACCCAATTACGAGTTAAATTCCGACACTTTTTAGTAGCTTTGAGATATTAGCTTAAGTAACACTTTTAGATTTTTTGTCCAGGTCATGGCAACCTTAGATAAACGCCTTAAAATATAAAGTGTTCCCCTTGTTTTTTAAAGGTAGAGAATTTTCAATCACACTGTAATTTTTTCATGAGATAAAATATGAAAAGAACTATGTAAGGTGCAAGAGCACCTTACATAGTTCTTTAATCTACTGAGGTGCAATAGCACCTCTGTATATCAATCAATGCTTTAGATGTTCTAGACGATGTTGAAGGAGAACAGACAACTAAGTTGACAATTGTCAAATTTTCATTTTGTTACCTCGGCATCAGGCCTCGTTACATAATAAAACCGGTCAAAACTCTTTCCTGCGAATATCTCAAGATGATGCAAATATTTATATTGAAAACGAAACAGGTAACAAGGTCCCCATCATTCCATTTTTGTATTGATGAGGATTCGCAAAGAGCAGTGAATTTTTGAGTGGAATATAAATGGTTGCCTGAAAGCGACTAGTATACTATTAAAGTAAGGAATAGTAATAAATAATATGGAAATACTTAAAAAAGTGAATCGAAACGCCTTACATTTGGTTACGATGACTAATAAGTTCTAACCATGGATTTCGTTTAAATTACGAAATCTGACGAAAACTCCCAGAATAATCACCCTGTATTTTTTTCCAACGCAATTATACCCATTTTTATCAAAACATGCGTAAAGAAGGGATGGTTGGGATTTAATAAATGTGATCTCAATACTATTTGAGACAGGAAATTGATCAAAATTTGAAACTTGCTTTTCTAAGTACTTAGATTAAGAAAAAACTAATTAAAGCATTAAGTACATTGTAACTATTTTTGCTTATAATTTTAAAATTTACTTTCCGAACGATAAGTCCCTTTTTATAAATTTATCATTAAAATCCCAGTACCCTTCCGTTAAAAATGGCCATTAGCGTTGGTTAAATTTTGTCGTCAAATCACACATCGAACATAATAATCAATGAATAATAATCGCTGCACTTTTAATAATCAGATACGTGAGATCCACTGCCCGGTATACATTACACAGACTTTTTTTTGAGGCTATGCTATGTGCCACTGCCCAGTATATATTTTCCCGGTTTACCCTACACTGATGTTTATTTAAGATTAAGTGCCACCACCCGGTATACCGAACACTTAACCTTTGTGTTATAAGATTAATTGCCCCCGTTTGGTATACGCTTGTTCGGTAAACCCAACATTGATGTCTTAAGGTTAAGTGCCATTGCCTCCGGTATTCCCTATTGTAACCTTTATGAGGTGAAGGGTTGTCTTTGTCCCAAATTCGCTCACGACGATTTGGCAATATTTTACGGCCTCCATTAACGGAATCCATTTTATTTAATTATTTACCATCTTTTTTTTAACCGTATAAAGCTCAGTTTACAAATTGTAGCGAAAATGTAAGAAGACTTCCGAAAATTGCCATTCTCAATTAATTTTCTGTTTTTTTTCTTCATATTATTATTTTTATTTTTTATTAAAAGCTTCGTCCCAATAATAATACTCAATACTTTGCATGGTTGGGAGCAATAAGCATGCTGTTTACTGGCAGCGGCAAAATGAGAAAATTTCCGCTTTATTCATACAAGCCAAATTTTTGTATGGGTAACTTTATAAACAAATTGGTTGCCCTAAAAAAAGAATAATTATTCAATGCATAATAAATGTTTATAACTGTTGGACATTGCCTTTCACAAAAAACTTGCTTGCCTTTTTTTAAACGTAAACTGTTTTCATCAAAATTTTTAAAATTAAAAATGATGTAAAAAAATTTGAAGCCTTTAACATTTTCTTATAATTCTTAGCAAATGAAAAAACCCAATCAAGTAACGAAAAAATAGCATCTATATGACTAAATTGTTAAAAACTATTATTTTAACCAGCTCTATCATTTCCTAGATTTAATAGATCTCTTTTAAAAAAGAAAAAACTCCTTAACGTTTAAAAAAAAACTTATACTTTTAGCGTTTTTTCCAGCAATGAATTTATANAAAAAATAGCATCTATATGACTAAATTGTTAAAAACTATTATTTTAACCAGCTCTATCATTTCCTAGATTTAATAGATCTCTTTTAAAAAAGAAAAAACTCCTTAACGTTTAAGAAAAAACTTATACTTTTAGCGTTTTTTCCAGAAATGAATTTATAATAAAAATTTAAAAAAAACTAAATTATAGGCAATTTAGACCTTTATAATGAAAACTATTTATTTAGCTAAATTTAGCTAAATATTTATTTAAAAAAGAAGTAAAAACAATGCGATAAAACAAGTTTCTTTTAAAACCATTCTCAACGTTTATAACATGCGGGATAAGAGCATTTCTTTTTAGTTCAAATTTCAGCATTTTTATTTTCATTTCAACGAAAACTTTAAGAAAAGAATTTCATGTATTAATTAGAATTGAAATGACATGTTTTTAGGAGCAGAGAAAAACACACTTTGTCTTGCAAACGCAGCATTGAGCAACCTTGCAAACGCAATTTAGGCATTGAATAAATTTAAATTGGATAGGTACTTTATTTACGTTGCACTGGATCCATGCAATGGGCTATAAATCTTTTGAAATTCGATGATAAGTTGAAAAATTGATTTTAGTTATATATATGGAAAAGCAGACCAGAATGGAGAACCTGTTTCAAAACGTGTTTTAAGAATAATAAATATTTCATTAAAAGAGTTACAAATGTTTCTATGAACAAATGATAATTTTATATTTTTAAAAATAAAATGATATTTTTCTAATAACAACCAAAGATTATATTTTTTATTACAAAGAATTATTGTCTTGTTCTATGTTGATAAGGCAGAACGTGGTTGTACGGAAAATTGATTAAATGGAACACATAAAATGCAAATGTAAGAAAAATACATTTTTCTTTATATATATATGTAGTTTTAAGGGAAAAAGAGTTGGTATTAAGGGGTTTTACCACTCTGACTCAACTTACTTCCCAGTTCTGCAGTACGGGTATATGATATTATCTATATCTAAAAAGTGCCAGTGCATTTATTACTTATAGCCTTGTTTAAACTAGGTGAACATTTTCAAACAGCTTAACTTTAAAAGAAATCATAAATCTTTATTGCAAATATAAAAGTAAACTGAATGGGTTACCTTACCATTTCACTAAGAGAAAAGATTCAGATTAAATAAGTAAGGTCACGCCAGAAATATGGAAAGGAATATTTATTTATACAAAGCTAAAGACAACTAAAGGTACTTTAAGCATGAACTAACAGTAGTTGTAATATATAGGAATTATAAATCATATAAAAAAAACTCAGAAATTATAAATTACACATCGAAAATCACGCACACCAGCTCAAAAAAAATCTCGATTCGCAATCAATTTTCACTTTTGTGAATGTTTTATTATACCAATAACATGTGATACTTATTTTTTTACAGAAATCATTTATAAAAATATAAGTTACAATTCTAGATTGTGGCAACAACTAATGTTTTCTGACGGATTTGTTTTTTTGCTTGCTGTTTTTCTGTGCTTTTTGCCGGTCAGGGTAAGGGTTTATTTTGATTAATATAGAACTTAATTTCATTTATTAAGAAAATTAAATGTTTCTTAAATGTGTACATTATTTTATTTTCAACCGTTAAGTACATGTCTGGCGCTTTTTTCTATTAAATAAACACGAAATTGTGCACCATTTGATCTAGAGTTGACTATTAAGATTTATCAGTATAACTATGATTTCATTGTCAAGATTAGAGTTGAATGACAAAAAATTACTGTTTTTGAGAATATAATTAGTGTTTTTTCCACGTAACTGCCAAGAGTTATGAGATTTTGTTTACAACTAATGTGTGATATTTTTTCAGTTTTTCTTTATTTCTCAAACAATAAGTTAAAATCAAAAACAATTCTATAAAAACTAGTATTAAAATAAAGTGAAGAGATGTCCTCTTTCCTCCTTCCATCAACATATTTTGAAATCTTCTCATCTTACAGCAATGCAAAACAACATAAACTCAAAATTGAAATGCGGTGAACAAAACTTTTTAGGGGTTCAGATGCATGAAGGATTAACAGCTAGTTCTAAATAAACTAAGAATGAAAGATTCATTTCAAGGGTGATTGTATTATGGGGGTATCCCGTAATTCCAGGTTTTTCGTATATCCTTCCAGGTCGGTCTACATATTAGGAGCAGGGCATATGATTTTTTTGTCAATATCGTGGAATTCTGCGTTTCTCGACGGGATATTTCAGTATCGTGAACTGTTGCGCCAACTACAATTGCCGATGTGCAAATTAAATTTTAAACTTGTATTTTTTTAAAAAAAAAATAAGAAAAAACATGTAGATGTTTGCTTGAGGGTGGCTACGAGTTAACCTTTTGAGTTGGTCCGTTTCTGTAATTTTTTTTCTAGTTTCTCATTGGCCGCTGTCTAAAAGTTTCCAAGACTTAGCGATTATTCTGCCACAGATCACAATACCAAAATCTCCCTCATCTCAAGACCATTGAATCTTCGACTTTCGGTAATCAAAAACTTATGAATGGACAAAATGTTCATGTTTAAAAATTCATCTAAAATTCAACTTTTGAATCTTTTGCTAATTCCCATTAACAAAACACTACAACATATGATTTTATCTGCCAATGAATTGAATTCAATTTTACTTTACTGGTTTCACGGATTTTTGCCATTTTAAATATTTGGAATCCGCTAATATTGTGATTTTTATTCATGCGGTTTGAACATCTAACATCGATTTTCGTATTTACCTAATTTAATACAGGCGATTTGTATTTATGCTTTTTTAAAATTAATTTTGTTGTTCATATTTACACGTTTTTAAAATTCATCTGCCCAATTTGTATTCATGTGAATTTAACATCAAATGTTAAATTACTATTCACGTGTATGTAAGTCCGATAGCCTGATTCATAATCACACAATTTTAAAATCCAATACTGCAACTCATATTCACACATTTTTAGAAATTCAACATCTTGATTCTTATAAGAACTTAGATTTTTCTTAAATTAGTTATTATGAAGTTGTGGTATTCTTCATTGGTAGATAATTTAATTATAAATTTTATCTCAAAGACTATGTTAAATACAAAACATGTATGGTACAGTATAGAACCCGTTATCCGGAAATCAGATAACCGGAAAACCAAAAAACCGGAACAAAATTCGATAAATTTTCCCGCCATTATTTAAAAAAAAAATTTTTTTTCCTCATAAAATTTTAGGATTTTTCCTTCTTTTTTGAAAGATGTTAACCTTACCATCATTTTGGAAATAATCATTAACATATTACTTAATTGTTTTTTCTTCTTTTTAAGATTATTTCCAAATATTTTCTTTTTAGTTGGGTTTAACAATAAAAAAAACGGCTTTTTGTAGCGATTTAGAAAACCGAAAAAATCAGTTATCCGGAATAGCGAGGGTCCCGATCGTTCCGGATAATCTGTTCCCTACTGTATTTATTTAAATTGATATCTTGATATTGATTTTTAATTACATGCAATTTTCCAGGTTTTCCAATTTGTGTCATAATTACCCTTGTTTTAAGTAATTTAATTTTAATAATTATGGTATAAAATGTAAGTGTTGTATATCTTTTAATTCAGTACTTTTATCTAAGTGTTACTTTTTAATGAAAAATTAACACCTAGTAAATTTACTTTTTAATGAAAAAGTAAATTTGTGCTTTATTTCGTTAATATTATATACCAAAAAAGAATTCTTATACATTGCACTAATTTAAATGTCGTTAATGCTAACTATATATATACATTTCAGATAAATAAATATGAGAGGTGGTTCTCGTGGTGGTCGATCTGCTAGGGGTGGGCGCTCTGGCCCATATAAACCCAAAGTATTCATTCCTCGAGTCCCATTTGACATTTACGTGGTAAAATAATTTATTTTTGATAATTTAATATTTTTATAATTTTAGAAAATATGCCTTTGTGCACAATGATTTTTTTCATTATTTTAGTGTGAATCATTTTTCCCAAGAGTGAAACTTGCACCTGAAGATGCAGCTTTAACACAGGTAATATTTCCCAACCATAACTATGTATAATAATTCCTTTTTTTCACTAAAAAGTAGTTAAATTGTTTTTAAAAATATAATTCATTATTGTATTGGAATAAATTAATTGTATATAATCTATTATAATTATAGTATTGTATGATTATTGTAAATTTAGTACTTTTATAGTATAAGATATTTGAATGTTGATCATATAATCTGCATCATTTGTCTTAACTGTATTTTATTAAAAACTTTCTATTCATTATTAATTTTCACGCTTTTAGCAGATTGCTTATTAACTGACGTTTGATTAGCAGTATTAAAAATTTGTAGTGCTTAAATTTAAAATAAACAAATTGTTTATTTTTAAATTTCTGATAAATTGCTATCTAAAAACGGGTATAAAATTTTTCTGTAAAGATATTTTGGTACAAATTTCGATTCTTGCATTTGTAAAATGGTCTTATTTAACTATTTATAGCTTATTCCTATATCTGTTATCTTGTATTTTTTAATATTGTTCAATGAGAAATAAGTCTATATTAAGAAAATTTGATTTCAAATAGATTAGTCCAGGGCATGTCGTTTCAATTCTAAAGATGCCAATCAACCAATTTCTATGTATAATGATTCCTTTTTTTTTCTCACTAAAACATAGTTAACTTGTTATTAAAAATATAATGCATTATTGTATTTTGATAAATTAAATGTATATAATCTATTATAATTATAACAATGTATGGTTATTGTAAGTTTAGTACTTTTATTGTATAAGATATTTAAATGTTAAACATATACTAATCTGCATCATTTGTCTTAACAGTAATTTATCAAAACTTTCTAGTCATTAATTAATGTTTACGCTTTTAGCAAGTTGCCTATTATCTGATGTTTAATTAGCAATATTGGAAGTTAATAGTGCTTAAATTTAAAATAAACATATTGTTTATTTAGTGTATTGTATTGTATTGTTTGTTTACTAATTGCTATAAATTGTTTATTTAGCAATTGTTTATTTTGTGTATTGTTTAAATAGATTAGTTCAGGGCATACCATTTCAGCTCTAAAGATACCAACCAGATTAAAATTTTTGCTCACTAATATTCCCCGTGGCAGAAACACGGCGACACAGTGACATTGTCGCAGAAAGGGACTGAGTTCTTGCAGAAAGATTTTCTTATTTGGGAAACAAAATTTTTGGGTTTGGCAAAAACAAAAGTTCTCAAAAAAGATTCTGCAGAAACAGAAACTGTTTTACAAAAAAATAATTTCGACAGAAACAGAAAATTTCTGCAGAAGCAATAATGGTTCTGCAAAATTATTTTCTTACAGTACTGTTTTTAAATAATTGTTTTTCTAGCGTACCGTGGAAGGGGAAAGCACTCGTGATCCTCCGTTAATCTCCCTAGTCCGTGTCCAACACAAACAGTAACTGGATATAAAAGGGGAGAAATTTTTTCCCCTTTATTAAGCTATTTTTGGGACATTTGCCAACTTCGGCCTTTATCGCTAGCGCAGTANATCAAAACTTTCTAGTCATTAATTAATGTTTACGCTTTTAGCAAGTTGCCTATTATCTGATGTTTAATTAGCAATATTGGAAGTTAATAGTGCTTAAATTTAAAATAAACATATTGTTTATTTAGTGTATTGTATTGTATTGTTTGTTTACTAATTGCTATAAATTGTTTATTTAGCAATTGTTTATTTTGTGTATTGTTTAAATAGATTAGTTCAGGGCATACCATTTCAGCTCTAAAGATACCAACCAGGTTAAAATTTTTGCTCACTAATATTTTGTATTCAGAAAATTTTTTGACAATTTTTAAAATGTTAGCAGATGTAGTAAGAACCTAGTGGTGATCAAACCCATTAAAGAATTGGAAATTTAAAATTTAAACATGTTTATTTATTGCAATAATAATTATATTAAATCAAAATAAGTTTTTTTTTTTTTAAGATTCAACTTATTACTCTCTCTTAAATATCTGATTACTGCTAATGAGGGAATTTCCCTCACTGGGATAGATCTTGTAGGGATTACCCTTTTTAGATAAAGTGGAGAATGCAGATATTTTAAAAAAAAAAAGTAGTTAAAATTTATTACAAGCTTGTGTAAAAATCCAATGATAAAGCTTTTATTGTATTTTGCATATTTTAACACACTTAGTTTGCAGAAAAAAAGGGATTCATCTAAAAAATTGTTTAATTTATTTGTTTTGTTAAATATTAATCCTAGTTTGTCTTGTTCTTTTTAAATGAAAGATTAATAAATAGAAGTATAAAATAGTCATCAATGATTTTTAATGTGAACCTAACAATATTTTATTCCATACCAGATATTTCAAAATAGGTATTTATTGCAAAACTCTTCGATTGTTTCCCAGATTAAACTAACAATTATTATACATTTACCTAACATTATGCGAAAATGTAACTTGTTTGTTGCTGGGAACAAATAGAATGTGTAGTAATACAGCGAGAATTCAGAGAGGGTAAAGTTATATAACATTTGCTACTAAAATGTTGAAAGAATATGTATTTCTTTTGTATTTTTGATCACAATTCCTTATTAATAAATAGCGAAGTGACTGTTCTGTTGAAATTTTTTACACTGAGCGTTATTCAAATATAAAGTTAAGCTACAGTCGAGCCTTGATCTATTGTTTAGTATCTTTTATATTCCCATATGTACTGTCTTGTTTTTACAGTCCCAAATTCTTATGATGTTAATAATACCTGTCTAGATCACTTTTGAAGCTAACAGATTCCTACCTTTATCGTTCAGAAATTCTATCGGCTATTGGTTTTATTAAGTTTTGAAAAGGAAAATAGTAACTTGTGATACTGGTGATGAAGAAGAAAATTTGGAAAAATGAAAATCGAGTTTGATGACTATGCATCAGTTGATGAATTTGGTGTTATTTGCTCAAAAAATGATTGTACAAGTTAAAGAAATGCAAATAGACATTAATGAACATGGGGAAATTGAACCACTACCTGTGCCAAAATTTATCAAAGGCCCCAAAGCTTTTCAAACATTGAAGAAATTTTTGTATCCAAACAAACTTATAGAAAATTAGCGATCTTATAATTGTCGAAAATTGTTTGTTTGCACTGAGAAGAGAAAAGTGTTTACAGACCTAAGTTCCCATATATTTTTAAATAAATAAGTGTGTTTAAACCTCTTTCTTTTGCATTAAATACTTAATTTTTCAAACAAATTTTTTTATACTCATTTTATGTTTGTTAATTTTCTTGTCCATTACTTCTATATTACTTTTCATACTTTTTCAATTCATTATTTGGTATTTTATGTGTTCTATCAATCGTAATGATTGCTCCCTTGAGAAATTACAGATCGATTTTCTGTTGTATTACTTTAAGCTTTCATACTTTTATTTTATGCAGTTTCTTATCTTCATTGTATTGAACTTAAATCCGAGACAAATATAAAATGAACTTTTTCCTGGCATCCATGTAAAAGTTCAAGTTCACTGAATGCTTTTATATTGAAAGTTTTTTGAATGTGAAGTCGCACTAGAGTCTAAGCTCTTTAGTACGCCCCCCCCCCTATTGCGTCCCGAGTGACCCTTATCTTATGATGAGCCATGTGTAAAGTTCCGTTTGATATTAAGGTTATTTTAGGCTTAGTGGATCATTTGATCTTCAATCTGACCATTTATTCCAATAAAGTATGCAAAAATTTGTTTTATTTTTTAATCTAAATTAACCACTTCTTTTGTTTTGTTTATTAAGTGAGTTGTATTGTTACTAAATAAAAATATCTCATTTATAAAAATTATTACAGATTGTTTATGTATATCTAAGTTGTAAACTTTTTGTTTGTATTTAAAAAAAAATAAATTAAAAGTTGCAGCTTGGTTGATTTGTAAGGTTGTCTCATCTGTGCTTTAATTTTTTTTCCCTTTAAATCCTTTCTCTCTATCCCAAACTTTTAATTTTTTTTAATTTTTGCATGTTGTCATGAAATTTGCTTCTCAAGAATCAAGAGGATGAAGATAGTCTTAAAGTAATTATGCAGCAAAACTAGTTTAGTTTTGTCTTTTCATTTTAGTTTTTAAAAATGTTTATTAACTCTTTTTATTTGAATCTAATTTTTGACATGCTGTTATTTTTAGTTTGTTTTTCTTTCCTCAATCTAGTACAAATTAAATTTACTGTTGATTTTATGAAACTGTTTAATAACTGAGTTTATAGAGCAAATAGGATTCCAAATTATATAAAAAAAGCATGTTTTTATTTTGTAACTTTGTCTGATACTGTTATGTGTTTGTCTACTTTTTAAAGGGACCATGGAGCCAATAAAAGTATTTAACTTATTTTAATGTTTTGATGTAATCTCTTACATTACTAATTAATTGAGTTTTTCTGATTTTATACAAACTTCTGATTATTGGAAGCTAGTTCTAGAGTTCCTATATTTTACGGCAAACAGCTTCAAAATTGTCTAGTTTAGGGTTTCAAAAGAGTTGGTTTTCTTCAAACAGTTCAAGAGTTGCTTGTTTTCTTGCTTTTCATCAAAATCATGTTAGCTGTATTGAACAATTTTTTTCTTTTTATTGCCAGCCAAAAGACGTGTCAAGATGTCAATGTTGCCTAAATTATTATTCAACTGATTAAGTTGAAATATAAAAATAGAACTTAATGTTTATTTTGCGAAATTTAGTACTCTAAGTAGTTTAGAAAAAAAAACTTATATATTATTAAAACATTAATTGTTACTTAGAATATAATAACATAAATAATTTAGTAAAGTTCTAGCTGTAGCAATCAAAGCTTTGAAAAACTAATAATTATTGTAATTGTTTAGTTTGTCTTTATTGGAAATCTCAATCCTGAAAGCATTCAGGTTTAGCCAAGGATGAAAAAATTGGTTTTCTTCAGTTATGTGGTTGTTTACGTACTAAAAATACCTTGCCTAAGTCAAAAATAACCACAATAGTTTACACACAGGTATTCAAGAATATACTGAGTTTAATTTTTATGTGTTAAAGATTTTAAAGGATTACTTTTTATTTGAAATCCATGCTCGAAATAAAAAATAAAAAGCTTTGTTAAAAACAACAGATTTTACTATTTATGTTGCCATGTCTCTTTAATAAAGCTTTAATTTGATTTTTAAATTTTTCTTAATATTTAACTCTAGGCCATTTTAAAAAGGAACCAAGATCTTACTTCTACCGCCCAAGAACAAACTGCTGTTCTTAATCTTGTTACAAAGATTCAGACAGTTTTGGACAATCTTGCTCTTTCCCCCGGAACCTTTGATGCTTGTGTAAGTTTCGTTCATTGCTTAAAAAGTATTTTCGTTTTTTCTTTCTTGTACTTATTAGGACTCTAGCTGTCTATGATAATATTGGAAATCTCTTCTGATTCTTTGTTTTAATACTACTATCTTCAAAATCACATTTTATATTTAATATTAAATGAAAATGATCTTAACTTGGCATTACAAAGCTGTTTAAAAATAATTTAATTTCTATTTCTTAAAATATTTTTAGTCGATAGGTTTGTTAATTTACTTAAAAAAATATATTTGTCAACCTATAGTTAAGTTAAGTATGAGACATCACAATTTATTTTCTCACTTCAACAAATCTGAAGGGAAAAAAAAAAGAATCTATGAAATTAATTTTAATTTTTTTTTATTTTAACTTATTTTTCAGCAGTTAATGATGATACGTTCTATTCCATTTTCAATAAACTTAAATCATGTGTTTGGATAATTAATTACTGTAAATTAAGTTTTTATACAGTCAACATAGTTTGAGTTGTGTTATGATTTATTTTTAATATTATTTACAGGGGTCAGTCTAGGTTTTTCTCCGAGGTACCAATTTTGTGAAAATTGAAAATTATATTAAAAAATCAACACCAAAATATGATAAAAATATGGATTTATCGTTTCTTAAGGGATAAAAAAAGAAAGTATTTTGTGAAACTACCGTTTTTCTTAAGGTTGAATTTGTGAAGGTACCTCTAAACGGTAGTAAATTTGGCCTGGAATGACCCCTGATTTATATTATAATAATCTTTTTTAAAATTTTTCTAATTATGAACTAAAGTGCTGTATTTTAAGGTCTGTTGATCTAGTAATGATAAGTAATATATGAGTTGTAATGCAATAAGTTTTAAGAAGAAAACTTGCAATCATTGATATTACGTAGGATTAAATTTTATATTTTTCGCAATCTTCAGTTGCATTTAAATAGAGATATTGTTAGCTGATAAATTTGCTGTTCACAAAGTGGACTTAAATTTTATTATTCTTTTATAATTGATGAATCATTCTAGGTTATTAATTTTGTAAATAAATCAAAGCTTTATTTAATGAGAGAATTTTTTAAATTGTTATCAAAACTTTGGTGAAAACAACTAAAAAAAAAAAAACTAGTTTGCCAAAGCAAGTTTTTTTTTGCCAAAAGTTTTTTTTTTGTATATTTTATTGGTATTATTGTACATTTTCCTGAGATGATTAAAAAAAAAAGGTTTTAAAAATCGGAAAGTAGATAATAACGTTTGTGTGCAATTACATGATTTTTTTTTTTTTTTAAAGAAGAGAAGATATTTTTTATAAATTGATTTTTTAATAAATTAGCTTTAAACATTAGGAATAAAATGTGAACTTTTTGCATTAATTTATGTGAATTTTTTATATTAATTTAAATTTTATGAAACTTAAAATTTTTTATTTTTTTTAAATTTCAGAAGACTAATTCTTTCGAAATTTTAGTCATCCTGTCACACTAAATAGAAGCTAATAGTTCATCATGTAAAAATTATTTGGTTATCAAAACTAGTAAATTAGTAAACTATTTTTGAAATATTATGTTTCTACTTTGAGTACATTTCAAAAGCTAAAAAAAAAGTTATTATTTCTAATTGTTGCATATTGATTTTTAAAATTGATTACCAGTTTATCAATGTGTGTAAAATGATGTTTATTTTAGCAAATTGAAGAAGTTCGTCAAGTTGGTTCATTCAAAAAGGGCACAATGATGATTGGAAATCCAGTTGCTGATATTGTAACTATCTTAAAAACTCTTCCTACTGGTAAGTCAGTTTAAATATATATAGTGCAAACTTTTGTTTTTTATATTAAATGATAATTTTCTTAATTCTAATGAAAAAATTCTCATTCTGTTTAATGCGGTAAAAAAAAAAAAAGATTGCAATATTTAAATAATATTGTTCCATTATTTATTTACTATCAATTTTTATTTTTTAAATTATTTTAATTTGAGGGAGTTGAATGTTTTATGTGTGTGAACATTTGTTTGTTAAATTATGGATTTTTTTTTTTGAAATCGAATATTTAAATCATATATTATTATATTAGATTTTCTTTATAGTTCCAGTGATAGATATAGTTGAAAAAGGACATAAAAAATAAGAACAACTATAAGTTGATTCTTTGACACCAAAAGCAGATAGTTTAAAGTGCATCCATCTGTTGACCAATTTACGAAAGACAAATTTTATCATTAAAATGATATTGATACTAAATATTTGCATATTTAGTTTAAAGAGCACAGTAATAGCACACTCAAGCTACGATTAACAAGTTATTAAATTTATTTTAAATACAAATGTCTTCCTCCCTTATTAAGTTTAATATTAAAACACTTTTTTGCCACTGTAACACCGATCTCGATTTTTATTGAAATTTTCCCACTACCTCCTGTTTGCTGATTTCTCCCCCTCGTAAGTTGGACTGAAAAATGAAATAATTTGTTTCATCTTAATTTGTTTACAAGATGCAGATTTAATTTTCTAAAAAAAAAGAAGAAAAAAAAAGTCAAAATTCCCCCATTCTACCCTGCGATCAATTTGGCAGCAACTGATTTGAAGAAAATTTCTTTCTCTGCTTTGTGCTGTTCCACTTTCTCGCGATTACATCATGCCATTTGGTTTTCAGGCAGTTGTTGGTCTGGGCAGTTATTCAACGCTATGTATATTATCCATTTTAGGTGATATCACAAGATTTTTTAAATAATCTCTTGGGCTTTCATGTTAATTAGTATTGTTGTTTGAACTTGTCTATTATGAAGTTCAGCTTTTTATTTTTAAAAATAATCTAAATACTTTATAAAATAAAAGTGATAAATTTTAAATAAATTAATTTTGAATAACTTTTATCAGAATTAGGTGGCGATGAAAAAGTTGAAACTATTTACAAGATTCAATAATTTGCTTTCATAAAATTTCTTAATTTAGATTTTGGATTCATTCAATTTTATTTAAGTCTGCCGCTTGCTTAGATTCGATTGAACAGGGAGAAAAATAATCCCCTCCCCAATTTTCAGCTTCAAGGATGACTTGGTCATTCTAGCTCAGAAATGGCAGGGAAAGCAAGCAAATTTTTTCCATGTTTTCTGGAACAATGAATAAAAGGTTTTATGCTGTACAGCTAACTCTACACCTTAATTATTGAATGAAAAATAGCTGTATTTTCGCTTATTTTTTTAAACTTAATTATTATATCTAGTGGATATAATTATATCTAGTGGATATCTATATCTAGTGGAATATAGCAATGTATTTTTTTATATATATATTTAATCCTTCTGTTAACTGATAAGCATAGGTAATACCTTTCCCTCTCGTAAATCAAAGATCTCATACATCCATTCCTCTACTGAAGTTCACAGATGACTGGAATTTCCGCATTTACCTTAATTTATTTGAGTTCATAATGGTGGGAAAACCCAGAAAAAATTTTCCTAGTTTTTTGGATACTGGATAAAAGGTGCTGTACTGCATTTAAGAAAGATCTGCAACCTAACCCTGGAGAAGTTGACAGGTCTATTCTATTTTTTATTTCTTCTTTCTAAAGAGTAGTTTCGTATATAGTTTACACAACATATTTAATTCTCTTTAGAGATATTTTAAAAATTTTATTTATATGTAGGCTGCCATTACTTTAAACGCATGGCTTAACGAAAAACATTTTATGGTAGGTTTTTTAGAGAAATTCTTTATTTTAATGTTATTTATTTATTTTAGTGGAAGCTGTTCAAGGCTTAGGTTACAAGGTTTTAGATGAATTGAAGGCTTTAGATTCAGCAGAAAGTACGTTCAGTACTTCCTTTTTTTAGAATTATATATTATTAGCTATAATTTGGTTTTTATTCATTTGTGTTCCTTTATTTTGTGTATGTATACATTTTAAACTTATTTTTCCTACTGTTGTACGGATTGTTCTCAAATCATTAGTGTTGATGACATATCTACATGTTAATACTAAATAAAAAACAATTCTGATTAAAAAAAAAGGATAAAAAATTAGAAAACATTTTTATTGCTTAAAAATATCAGTAATTTTTCAGTTAAATTTTTGTAATTTATTTCATTATATTTGATTTGTGATGACCCACAAACAAAAATCATTTTTTTTTTTTTTGAATTAAGACTTTTTTATTTCAAAATATTTATTTATATTTAGATTGTCTAAATTTTCTTTCTGTAGTTTTAAAATTTGTTCTAAATATATTGTTGTATTAAAATGGGATTCAATTAACAATAAACACCAGTGTTTGAGAAATTCCAGTAGTTTTGAAATGACAGTGAGTTTTTTTTTTTTTTTTTTAAATACTAAACAAAAGCAAAAATAAGAAACAAAAGTAAAGTTTCATGCAATATGTTTTTATGATATAGCTGTAAAAAAATTTAAATTTTTTTACGAAAATAAATGATGGTTGTGATAATTAAACCAAATCTTGAGTATTAAGCAGTTTTAAAACTCAATTTTATTTTAATGTTGCTTTTTTTAAATTTGAATTTTGAACTTTATATGATATTTAAAGGAAATGAACCTGTGGTAACATTAAAAAAGAATAAATTCAGATAGCTTTTTGTTATAAAGTGATTTTTTAAAGGTAATAAATATTTCAATATTGAATATTTGAATATTTTAAATACATTAAATATTATTAATTATATTAAATATTTGAATATATTAAAATCAATTTATGAAAATAGGATGAATTATGAGATTTTATTTACTTCAGTTTTTTTTATGTGATTCTCAGAAAATCGACTCCAAATTTCTGTTTCTAAAGCCATAGTAAATTTTTAAAAGCTATAAATATTTTTTTTATCCATAAATGACTTAATAATTATCTGACATATGTAACCAAACTTTTGTAACCTTAGGTACGCAAGTTTGGTTACATATGTCGTGTGTGAAAGGTCTGTTGAAATTTAAATTTATCATGATTAGAGACATTAAATGATACAAATACATTTCTGTAAGTTTGAATTTTAATAGAAATTATTTTTTTAAAGTCACTATGAGTGTGATGTATGAAAAAGTTAAAGCTCATTTTAGTTTCTTGCTTACATTAAATTGGTGTAACTTATAACTTTCTTTTCAGTTTTATGTATTGCTATGATTGAAGGTGGCTTTGAGATAAGTTCAACTGAAGCCTCAGTGAAATGTCTGATCACAACTGTTCCCCAGAATCTAAGAAAACTTGATCCAGAATTGCATTGTAAGTCTACCTGCTTTCAGTTACTGAATTATTGTATTTTAGAAAAGTATGTTTAATTTTTGAGAATTGAAAATGCATTCAAATAAGTTTATTACGAACCTTAATTTTTAAAGATCCTAGATTTAGTAAGGACATTTTTAATTTATGGTTTATTTCGTGAAGAAAAGCTTATATCAAATCTTTGTGCAGTTTGGATATATCAAGAAACCTTTAATATACACTATGGATTTTTAACATACTTTTATTTTCTTCTAAAGAGTATAAAAATCACAAAATTTTCTTTTATCATTTATTATTTTGTCCTAAAAATAAAAAGAAATCTGAAAAAACCGTCACCATGGGGGAAAGAGACTGAAGGCCCTTTCAAAATATTACTTTTATATTTCTAAATTTTTCTTACTGTATTTTAGTTTTTTAATTTTTTTTGCTTAGCAGAAATTGTTTTGTTATGTGTTTGTATTAATTTTTAATTAAAATATTAATTTAAATAATTTCCTTTAAATATTTTTGATTTAATTAGAATAACAATTATGCTGTATTATTGCAATGGCCATCATTTTGAGTTTATTTGTTTTGTTAATTTAGTGGACCAAAAAATACTTCAACATCATCTAGCCGCCATCCGCCATGCACGTTGGTTTGAAGAGAATGCTCACCATTCCAGTATTAAAGTCTTGATCAGACTGTTCAAAGATCTGAGAAATCGCTTTGATGGTTTCCAACCTTTAAATCCATGGATTTTGGATCTCCTGGTAATGTATAAATTTTTACCTTATTTAAAGCTATATTAAGTTTTAAAAACATAGCTTCAATGTTTCTTGGTAGTTAGAATACATTTTTTTGACCTATTTAATATTAAAAAACCAGATGAAACTTTTTTGTTATTTTATAATATGCTAATCTATTATCTTCATTAATGTATGCTTAAAGTTTTTTCAACTTGTATTAGCTAATTGCATGCAGGTCATCCAAAAAATTGTTTTAAACATATTCAGATTTTCTGCGCTCATACAAAAGTTTTAAAAGTGATAGCAAAACTGATTGTCAGTCTTTTCTTCAAAGAAAGAACTCATTTGTTTTTATCTCAAATATAAATGATTTAGTAGATTTGTATTTAGCGCTACAATTTTAAAATTGAAGTTGTAGCTATAGTTGTCATATAATGAAGTTATAGTTGTCATATAGTGAAGTTATAGATAAGTTTACTCAGGCATTGCAGTGTTTTCATTACAGAAAAAAAGTGGGTGAGAATTTCTCACCCTTTCTCAAAAACTGGGTGAGATTTCAAAAAGTTAGGTGAGATTTCTAAAAATGAAAAAAACACGAATAGACTTGGAAAAGAAATATTTCATTTTTAACATCTAATGTTTAAAGCATTGAATATTTTTGCTGCATTATCACATTGAAAATGTTCTATATCTACTTTTTCATCAGCTATTCTCATTAGGTTGCTCAAATGCTTATCAGTCAATCTGTTAGTATATTTTGTCTTAATTCGGTTTTGGGTGCAACACATACTGGACTATTTGGAACCACTAAGTAAATTTGTAGCATTGTGCACACACTTTCCTATCCTCTTCATCTGCCAGCATAGGTTTTTCAATTATTTCTGCTATAGAATAGTGAAGTTATTTTCATGTCAGGGTTTAAGCTGAGTCTAAAAATTCATTAGCAAAAAAGCTAAAATCTGAAAAAAAGTTTTAGCAAAATGCTAAAATGCCATTAGGCTTATAAAATTACTTTATATCAAACAAGTACTGTAAGTTATCTGACAAAGAATAGCTTAATGTACAAGAATATCAAAAAGAATACCTAAAAAAAAAAAAAACACATTTATTATTTATCAAAACATTTTGGTTTATAATTAACAATCTTCCTTTCTTTCATGTTTGCCCATTTTACAAATGCTTCTTGAAAGTTAAATGCACTTTCAGGGCCCTAAATATTAATCATTAACAAATATATATATCATATATTCTAGCCATTTTTGTTGATCGCTATGCTTCATCTCGTTTGATCACGTTTTTTTCGTGAACGCTAGCGTCATGGTTCTTCTTGCGAAAGATATTTAGATTTTTTCTCCTTGTTTGATCAAGTTTTTTTCATGGATGTTAGCGTTATGGTTTTTCACGGAAGCTTTTTTTTAATGGAATTTAGTAAAATCCTTTAGCAAAAATGCGAAAATGCTTTGTTGAATTTTAGCATTTTGGAGGGGTCTTTTCGCATTTTGCGAAAAAAGCTACCGTAGCGGAAACCCTGTTTCATGTTCTTACTTTATGCTAGTATTTGATCCATATCCATTGAATATCCGTATTTGTTTCGTTTTGACCGTTCCTACCCACATTTGTTTCATTTTCATTTGTCCGTTACGGACTAGAAAATGTTGCCTTAACAAGGTATTTGTCCATCTTACATTCAAGCTCTAAAAATTTAAGCGTCTTACATGAAGAAACCTTACCTACGGTTAACACGTGGTTGAAGAGAAATGTGTTCTGAAAGGGTTTTGAGGGTGCATTGTGTTCAGCTGTTCGCAATGGTTCTGAACAATACTGATAAATAGGAAAGCTTGATAACAAGGACCGATGTTGAAAATAAGGAAAGATCAAGGAAGAAAAGTGAAACGGATTTCATTTAAAATAGCGGAAGACGAAATTTTTTCCAAAATTGGCGAGATTAGCTCATTTTGAAATTCATTAATAGAGTGCGAGAACTTCTCGCGTTAATCATTTTTTAATGCGAGAAAAGAAAAAAATATGCGAGATTCTCGCGTTCTCGTGCTGTAGTGAAAACACTGCATTGATAGAATCTTGTAAAAGATTTTTATTTATAACATAAGAATTGAATTTTTTAAAAATTGTTGCCTACTTTCAGTGAGGTAATATTCACAAAAAATATTTAAATATTTTTCTCATAAATGTTTCTATTGTGTGTGGTTATAGAAAATCTTATAATTTTATTTTGTAGGCACATTACGCAATCAATCATCATCCCAGTCGTCAACCTTTAGGACTTAATATTGCTTACAAGTAAATAAACTTATATATTGTATTTGTTCATGAAGAAGCCTGTGTTTTGGTACATTTATTGAGAATATATTATATGGTATTGTGCGAATTAAAAAAATCGCACATCGCAATTTCGTTTAAAAATTATACATTATAATTCATTTTCATGATTTTAAAATTTCTCAGCACGATTTATTACATAAATAATATGTTATATTTAATATGTGAATGTAAAATATTTTAAATAATGAAATTTTTGCATAAATAAATTTTTAGTAATGCTGGTTTTGGTTGAAAATTAAAAAAAAAAATTTTTTTTTTTAAGTAGATATTTGTTTCTGTGTAAGACTTGATTATNTTTTTTTTTAATTTAAGGTGTATTTCAGTCTGAATTCATGTGATAAATTAAAATAAGGCTTAAAATATTTATATTTAACATTATTTTCATATTTATTCTATATTTATTCTCTTTTTCACCATATGTTTTTTTTTATGGAATCTTATATTCATATAATATATTTAATAATTTTTTTCTAATAAATCGATGACAAATTTTAAGTTGTTACTAAAATTCTATGCATGAAGACCTTTGGAAATATCAGATATGTCTTGAAAATAGTTAAAATTTAAATATAAGTACTTTCATGGAGGCAACAGCAAGACAATGAAAAGATTTGGTTAAAATATTGCTTAAAAGTAAGTGTTATGACTGAAAGAGGGATGAAGAATTTGAATATTTGAAAATAATTGTGTTGAGCTTTCGGCTTGGTTATGATTTAAGTTTACAGATTGTACGACATGATAAGGAAAAGTGTTAAGCTGGTCACCCAAGACATACATTAGCAGCCAATACATTTCTAATTTGTATTGATTGTTTAAAAAACACATAGGATATCAATTAATGCTTTTACTGTTTCAATTATTAGACAAATTTGTACAAAAATGTACCTGCTAAGCACAATGTTTTAATTCAACTGTATGTGAGAAAATGTATTGTGCTCCCAACTGTGTTTGGGCTTGACAGTTAAAAGATTTAAGATTTCATTTTGCATTTTATGTCCAAAATAAAACTTTTTATGTTTAAAAGTTTTCTTTAAATGTCCAAAGAAAAATTTAAAATCTTTGATTTTATCAAATTGTCAATAAGTTAAAATCTTCTTTTATTGTAGAGGAATAGCTTCTTATGTACAGAATTTTTTTTTATTTTTTTATTATATTGGTCTCTTTAAATTTTCTTCAAAGATTCAAATTTTAACATGATGTACTTTTCAGGAGATGTTTGCAGTTGCTAGCTGGTGGATTATTTCTTCCTGGTTCTGCTGGAATTCCTGATCCATGTGAAGGTGGAACTGTTCGAGTTCATACGTCAATGTCTTTAGAGCAACAGGTAATAACAAATTGCATGGGTGGACCAAAGTAAATTTTTTAAAACTTAACAAACACATGGTTTTTTAAAATGAAATTAATCAAAAAACAATTTAAAAGCTTTATTTTTGTAGTTGTATTCAAAGGCTGCAGTTTTTTCTTTATTATAGTATATATTTAATTTTTTTTTTTAGGATCTTGTATGTCTTACTGCTCAAACTCTCCTGCGTGTTATTGCACATGGTGGATTCAAGCAAATATTAGGATTAGAAATTCTTCCTAGTAAGTTAATTCAAAAATAGCATTGGACATGCATGTAATATGTATTCTTAAATTAACCTTTTCTGGTGCTGTGTGTCCAGTCTAACAATACTAATTCCAAAATATTACAGACCACTTAAAATGTAAAACTGTTCGCTTCATTTTTTTTTTATTTTTAGAAATCACTATTATTTAAACTGTGAAGAGTTAAAGTTTGTCTCTTTATTGAAGTCATAATGTCTTATTGCAGTTTTTAATGTGTTGCCATTTTCAACCGAAATTTGCTATTCGGGAAAGGGTTAATGTATAATTTTTTCATATTACTATCTTGTCTACCCAGATTTTCACTTAGCATTTATTTATTTTTACTGTTTGATTATTAAGAATAAGGTTTTTGTGTTTTTCACATTTGTTTTGAATCACTCCCAATTACAGTCGAACTTTGATCCACCGTTCCAGTATTTTCCCATATATATCGCTTTATATTAACATAACTGACGCAAATGCTATTTTTATAATGTTAATAACACTTTCTTAGATCATTTTCGAAACTTACGTATTAGTGTGTCTATCATTCAGATACTCTCCCGACATTTAAAAAAAATTGAAAGTCCTTTCATTTTGCGAAGATAAACTGTAACTCATGCTGCATACAATTGAGAAAATGAGGATTTGTTATAGTTTGTGGAAAATGCCATAAACAGCATGTGAGTCACTTCTGCATTGAAAAAAGAATGAATTATAACAGAAAATATGAATCAGAATTGAAAAAAAAATTTGAAACTCACAGTTCTTTAAAGAATTGGTTATAGAAGCTGAAGAAGTAGAAGGTGATATTAAAGAAGATAGTAAAATAAGACCACAACCCATGCCAATCTTTGCTGGAGGCCTCTGAGTCTTTGAAACAATGAGGTACTTTCTTTAATCACGCAAACAAAATAAACATTAAATCTGTTATAAATGCCAAAAAATTTTTGTTTGTTCTGAGAAGAAAAGAGTGTGTAAAATCAAACTTTGCAAAGATTTTAAATACAGTAGAGAACCGATTATCCGGAACGATTGGGACTATTGCTATTCCGGATAACTGATTTTTCCGGTTTTCTGAATCGCAACAAAAAGCCATTTTTTTAGTGTTAAACCCAACAAAAAAAAAATTTTTTTGGAAATAATCTTAAAAATAAGAAAAAACAATGAGGTAATGCACTAATGATTATTTCTGAAATGATGGTAAGGTAAACATCTTTCAAAAAAGAAAGAAAAATCCTAAAATCTTATGAGGAAAAAATTTTTTTTTTTAAAAATTGCGGGAAAATTTATCGAATTTCGTTCCGGTTTTTTGGTTTTCCGGTTTTCTGATTTCCGGATAATGGGTTCTGTACTGTATATGTGTTTATTCACCTTTCTTTTGCATCGTAAATATTTATTTATTAAGTACAAAAATTTTTCAGTCCATTATTTCTTCACTGGTTTTCACTCATTTTCAAGTTATTATTTGGTATTTTATGTTGACCTGTATTTGTCTTTTCCCCATATCTATCGTATGCAATCAATGGTCCTGGTCCCTTGAGAAACAAACTATGGAGGTTCTACTGTACTTGTTCTTATTATAAATTTTTCCTTGCTTAAGATAAGCTATGAATGCTTTTAAAAAAATTCAGATGAAAAAAATATTCCGAATAATGTAAACAAATTTTTTAATATTTTCTTAGTCAACATATATATTTGTATCACCTAACTTAATCCAATTTGAAGTGGCAAAATAATTATTTGATCTTTCTCTCTTAATTTTTTTTCTATTTAAACTTCATATATTTTAAATGAGTAGTATTTTTATTAATTTGAAATAATGATTGATATTTTCAGAAAACCATTGAGCTTGCCTAAAAAATGTTAAGAAATTTTGATATGTTTTTTTCTGTTTCAATTTTTTACATAATTTTTAATTTGATTTTGAGTTTGTTAAAATGAGATATATTTTTTTGTATATTTCCCCATTTTTAAACATTTTTAAGCAGTTTAATGCTTTCAACTCATTTCAGAAATGAAAATTTCAAATTAAATTCTTCAGTTCCTATTGCAATCTTAATTGTCAAGCAAATTTTTTCCAAAAATGTTAGCTGATGGTAATTATATAAAATTTATAAATAAAAAAGAATTTTCTATTTCTCTTCTGTCTACCTTCACTTTGATATGCCAGTTTTTTAAAAATTTATTTTGATTTAACATTTTTATTAAATATTTTATTTATTGTTTATTCATTTCCATAAAAAACAATAATAAACTTTGTTTTTTTTCACCACCATTTTTCATATATTTTCGGTTTATTCTTGAAAATATGTTAATAGCAAAAACTAAGAAATCTAGCACTTAAATATCCAGAATTGTATGTAATAGAATATGTGAATTAAAATATGTATATTAGAATATGCGTGTTATACATCTTTCATGATTAGAATTATTATTAGTTACACATGGTACCTTTAAGAAAAATAATTTTGTTATGATTTAAAGGAAAATTTTTTATATCTAAGATAGTAGCATTTAAAGCTCAAAATTAAAGTTTTTGATTTGAGATAAGGCAGATTAGATTGAGAATTGGGAGTATCAGTGAATTTTTTTTAAAAAATTCTAATTTTTGTTTAGGGTATCTTCTGAGAATATTACAGAATATTAATTGAAATTTTTAAATTACCTAATTTCCATATATTTATCGAATATTCAATGTTCAAATTTAAAAAGTTGTTCAAAATCATTTTTTAAAATTTTAGATCTTGCAATCGAGATGAGCGTTTGGGATGGAGTTGTGGTTTCTCCATTGAGTAAAGCTTATGAGAAACCGGTTGACAAGAAAGATGACGAAAATTCTGAAGATATGGATCAAGAACAAGATGACACTATGGAAACTCAAGACTAATGATTTTAATGATGACTAAAATGCACGTTCATTGTATCTTATATTGGTCTTTGTATATATCTCATCATGTAATCCTTTTTTTAAAAAGCTGTCTATCCAGTTTCTTAAAATAAATAATATTATGCTAGATTCACAAATATTCCTCAGTTCTTTGTGTGATTAGTTTTTTCTTACTAATATGGAAATGTGGAGTCATGACAAATGCGCTATGCTCAATATGGAGTGAAGCAGTGTAAGAAAAGGAATAAATAATGTGAAATGACTGTGTAAAATTCAATAAGGACAGCTTTAAATATTTTAACAGTTGCTTTGATAGATTTTTAAAATTTCCTATTTCAATGTTATGGAAGCTTTTTCTATAATAAGAAAGTTGACAGGAATAATACAGCTACGACAAAGTGTCTCAACGTACTTGAGACAAAATTTCATGTTTTTTATACTTTTCTGAGAGATTTCGCGTCAAATGTCGAAACTGACTTAAAAAACGAAACTAGCTAAACTGGAAAATCTACACAGTGCGCTCCATTGTGTGGAATGCGTTGTGTGCGGATTGACCTTTTTTTCTTTTTACTTTTCTGTTTTGTATACCTCTTCACCTGTCTTATTTTTCGTCCAAGGCAGAGGTGATTGTGCCAGTATCAAAAATTCAGTAATTTCTCCAGATATAAGTTTTTCTCTCTTTTTAAATTTTAAGAAAAACAAAAGTTTCTGCTTAGAAGAAAGATCCTTTTTTTTTAACTACGGAACATTTTCATTCGCTGCATAGAAGAGCCTTATTGGTGGAATTTCTCGCTAATACCCTAAATTTTTGTATCTACATTTCATTCTCGCTCCACATGTAATGTTTCTCCTAGATTTTTAAAATCGCTTGTTGTGTTAACTTCATTAGTCTTAATACTTAACCACTAATTATTTTATTATTAATATGGAATTATTATTAAATCGTTGTTTTCCTATTCCCGCTCCACTCATTTTTTTATCTGTAATGAACGAAATTTAGTTCTTCAGATTCGCTTTTATTCTTTTTAACTACGAAAAACAAATATTAATTTGTATTAACAACATTTACGAAGTGGACATAGTGATTTGTATTAAAGAGACTATCAAATGGCCGTAGTGCTTTACAATCATATTTCAACTGATTTACGACTCATTATTTCATGTTTCTTCGAATCGTATTTTTTCTATTCATATTTAGTTGATTTCCAAATTAAAAATCTCAATTTGCAGATTGCTGTATCATCCCTACAATGGGGCTAGGTCTAGTGAGTATGGAGGATAATGAAGAAATTCCAATTCCTGTAATTTGCCTCTGTCAACAATGATTTTTTTTTATACAATGAGCTATTATTCTTATTATTGAAGAATTATAGATTAATAAGATTGAAAGGGGGCTAGTTAAGACAATATTTGCAAGCCTGCTAAAAAGTTTGTCAAGCATTATGTAGAAAATTATTTAAAGCTTTTTTTTTTTTTATTAAAATTTGAAATTCGGTCTTTATTTTGAATTATAAATGACTTTTTATCATCCAAATACTTTTTTTTGCTTAAGCTCATTCAATTTTTTGTTAATTGAAAAAAAAATTAATTTTCTATTATTGTCATGTAGTTCCTAATTAGCGATGTATACACCAAGACTGAAGAAATAAGGGCTGAAAATATAAGTGATTTATTGCGTTTATTTACATTGTAGTAATTTTATTACATCTCTTATTATAATGGGTAAATCTCTTTTTTCCGATTGATCCGCAGCTGATTTAATTCTTTTGGGTGATTTTTGGAAAGGATTCTAATTTCCATAACTCCTTCTTCTCTGCGCCCCTGCATTAATAACATTATAACGAACAAACTATTCCATTTCGTTTATTAAATCCGGAATCTCGTTAAATGAGAGCTCGTTATTAGTGAGTTAAATTAAACGTATTTATAAAATGCATGATAAATATACTATTGTATTTTGACGAAACTTTAATATGCAATAGAGTATAAAATATGTATTGAAATATTTCATCAAAGAAGAAAAATATCATATGTAACTAACAGTAGAGGGTTCACTTTAGAACATATCAAATTTTCATGCCATTTGAATGATTTTTCGCAGTTCTATGAAAATTTGAATTTAGACCTTTNTATATATATATATTATTTCAATTACAAATTCAATTTTTTAGATATATTTCTTTCGAGTCTAGTTTCCTGGTTGTCACAAGCATAATGAAAATTTTCATCGTTTTAGTAACACTACTTTTTTAACGTTTCCGTCTGTGTACGAACCCTGAGGATTGTAGAGTTATTAGTAATATAAATATGTTACTACATAAAAAAGACGCTCTTTTTTTTCCAATATTACTACTTTTTAAATTTTCTAAGCTGTGTACGAACCCCGAAAGATGTAGAATTAATCGAAGTAAAAATATATAACTATAGGAAAATCAGAACACTCTTTTTCATCTTATCAGTACTACCACTTTTTAAATTTTTCCAGCTGTGTACGAACCTCGAGAAATGAAGGATTAATAGAAGTAAAAATATGTAACTACAGGAAAATCAGAACACTTTTTTTTTTAAATCTTATCAGCACAACCACTTTAAATTTTTCGGGCTGTTTATGAACCTCGAGGAATCTAGAATATGTAACTAGTATATGTAGAAAAATAAAGATATGTAACTACAGGAAAACAAAAACGCCCTTTTTCATCTTATCAATACTACCACTTTTTAAATTTTTCCAGCTGTGTACGAATCTTGAAAAATGTGGAATCAATAGAAGTAAAAATATATAACTACAGTTAAATCAGAACACTTTTTTTCATCTTATCAGCACAACCACTTTTTAAATTTTCTAAGCTGTGTACAAACCCCGAAAGATGTAGAATTAATTAATAGAAGTAAAAATATATAACTATAGGAAAATCAGAACACTCTTTTTCATCTTATCAGTACTACCACTTTTTAAATTTTTCCAGCTGCGTACGAATCTTGAAAAATTTAGAATCAATAGAAGTAAAAATATATAACTACAGGAAAATCAGAACACTTTTTTTTTATCTTATCAGCACAACCACTTTTTAAATTTTTCGGGATGTTTATGAACCTCGAGGAATCTAGAATTAATAAAAATAAAGATATGTAACTACAGGAAAACTAAAACGCTCTTTTTCATCTTATCAATACTACCACTTTTTAAATTTTTCCAGCTGTGTACGAATCTTGAAAAATGTGAAATCAATAGAAGTAAAAATATATAACTACAGTAAAATCAGAACACTTTTTTTTCATCTTATCAGCACAACCATTTTTTAAATTTTTTCGGCTGTTTATGAACATCGAGGAATGTAGAGCTAACAGCTAGGCAATGCCCGTTTGCTTGTTTATTTTGTAGCCAGACATCCGCTCTGCATATGCGTTGTTCATTTTCGTTATGATTCTTAAAACATATTTTTTAATGAATTAAACATTGTGTTATGATTCTTCTTACATTTTCGTTTTTTAGGCACTTAACTTAAAAGTATATTGGGCTAATATATATCAGGCAGTGACACTTAATCAAGAAAAACATCAGAGTAGGGTAGACTGGGGAAATGTGTACCTGGAAATGGCGCTTAAAGAACAAGAGTGTAAGGTAAACCGGGATTTTCCTGATTCCCTTGATTACCTCCTTCACTTCCCTTGTTTAATCTGATCATTTAAAGCAATAAACAATGATTATTAATAATAGCCGTATTCCATAATCTAATATTTTTATTAATCTTTTGTAACGATAGTATAATTTATGAACGCAAGTTTTCAAAAATTATCATTCATTAATAGATATAGTTATATACATAAGAAAACAAATTGAACTTCTTGAGCTATTATTTTAAATTAAAACATTAGTATAAATCCGTATTTCACGCAGTTCTTAAGTTTTCTACTCTATTTCCCTGCAACGACAGATTTATTTTATAAAAATTACGTTAGAGTTAGAGTAGTCTATAAAAATTACGTAAAGTTTCAATGAATTATGCCTTATTAATCCCATTGACCAAACTTCTCTGGCAATCATTAATAATAGTTAATGTGCTTAATTTGTCGCATTTATTAACAAAAAAACCAGATTGTTTATTAATTATTACCAGTTATTATAAGCAATGACCAGATTTATTACTTAAATCATAACAGATATATGGATGTTTTTATAAAGCTGAAAGAGTAGCAAAATATAAATATTTTTCTGTATCCTAGGGGAAACTTAGCAACCACCTTATGATTTCTTCCACGTCCTCGCAGCCTTGTTATAAAAGGAAAAATATCTTGAGACAAAAGTCTTAAATATAGTATTTGCGATGGAAAAAAAAACTCAACTTGCATATTATTAATTTTCATTCCTGTTTTTCATAGCTATGATTTAAGTTATTTCAAATTTACGATGTTTTTTGTCAGTTTTTACCTTACTTTTTAACATTAGTCACCACGTGACAAGTGATGGTATAATCTCAGAGAAAAGAATACGTAACACATCGAAGCCAGATAAGTGAACGTTTCCTGCATTTTATTATTTTTATTCTTCTTTTCTTCTCTCCCCTTCTTTATTCTGATAGAATAAAGAAAAGTAAAAGAAGGCAGCAGAATTACTTCTACTCCACCACTTGCAGATAAGACTTGTAAGGCGCATCGTTTTATTCATCTTTCAATTATCTAAACAAACGGAGAGGCTTAAGGTCAAAATTTTTGTGGAGTGATTTTTCCACGAGTATATATATAAAAAAATAATAACAACAAAATGGTATCAGGGAAGTCTTAAAAAACTCGACATAATCCTTACAGATGCCGGTGGATAGATACCTGTTACTTTCTGCTCTCCCGGATTACTCTTAAATAATGTAAGTAATTTCACATATTACTCTAAGCGCACAATCTGACTGACTATATACTTACTAATCAAATTGAATTATAATGATTAAAGTAAATAAAGTAACTGAATTTTTAAATTTTTATTATTTTACATACAAGGCTAGTTTAGGGGAAAGTTAATACAGTTTTGAGAGCTGAAGCTTTAAGCAAACGGAACATTTCAAGCAAATATTTTGAAAAATATTTTTTAATTTCTCTGAGTCGGAATAACATTTCTGTATAAATTTATTTTCATTTAATGAAGTAGAAAAATTTATTTACTCATAATTAATTCCAGCTCCGAAACTTTTAACATGAAATAACTTGGACTACCATTACATTTAAAATATGTTGAAGCAATCCTAGTTATTTTATTACATGGGCTGTAGGTAAATGAAACGCCTTCTCACAATGACGACAAATCTATTNATAAGTCATTCCCTCACTTGTCCCCACTGTTGATTTAAAAAAAGAAAAAATTGTTTCTGAAATAAAAATAAAAAAATTTACAAATTTGTGTTTTTTTATTTCAGACTACTGAAATATAGAATTCAGAAAATCAATTTTAAATTTAATTTCTGATAAAAATATTAACACAGCACCATTTTAAACTTTGTCCCTAGTGTTTGGAGTCATTCCCTCACAACAATGTTCTTATCACCTGCAAGCTTCTTAGAATAAAAATATTTTAATAAAAAATTTAGCAGTTAACAACTGGCATCATAGAACAAAATTGCAGTATGTTTCCATCTTCAACTTGCTGTGGCTTTTTTACGCTTTTTTTTCTATGTTCAGCAACCATCATATAAACAATTGCACAAAACACGTTTGCAGTCCCACAATCTAACAGCAAAACTTCTGATTTCATCGAGAAAGTGGATAATTATATGTTGCTTTCTTGTATGAATATAATGGTATGTGATTGATTTCAGAAATTAATTAGGCCTAACTGTTATTTCTAAATTTTATTAGATTTGTCATTCCCTCACTAGTGTATAAAGTGAGGGAATGATGCTGAATTGAGGGAATGATTTAAGATGAGTATATTATAAATTTTTGTTTTGTTCAATCGTGCCAGCTAATTTTATTTCCAAACCTTTAGAAACTATTAAGTATATAAAACTAAATTATAATAAATGTTAGATATACTTAATATGTAATCATTTTCAAACTTGAGGTAGCTATAATTTAGAGAAAAACATGTATTAGAATAAAATATCATTCCCTCACTTATTAAACAGCGAAATTAATTAATTTATTTAAATATTAAGTATAATTTAAAGGATATATACTTTCTTTATAATGCCATTACATATTTCTATTAATATAAAAATTTTCTGAGCTTTTTATTCACTTTACTTTTTTGGGATTTTATGAACTGAAAAATGACAGTTTTCGTGAGAATGACCCATATACATATATTAGAACTTTACTTAGGCATTTGTCTATATGACTTTATAACAACTGTTTCAATTACTTGTGTTTAGTAGGGGACAAATTAAAGTGATATAGCAAGCTAATACCTGATTCACTTTTCACCGTCACTTAAAACACAGTAAAGTATCTAGCAGGTCTTCTTTTCGTATGTTTTAAATATTTAAATGTAATGTAATAAAAGTATATTGAATCAAATTTGTTAAAACATTAATCAAGCATGAATGCAAAACTTTTGTTATCACATTAATCAAGCATGAATGCAAAACTTTTATTATCACATTAAATATAAAAATAAAATCTTTCGAAAATCCAAAACAGTTGGCAGGTAAGTATTACTCTTTATACTGCTAGAAAAAATATTTTCTGAAATAACGGAGAATCCGTTGCAGTTGAAGTCTCTGCATGCCCTCTTTCGCATTTTGTTTCTCATCTATTGCTGGTGGAAGAGTTCTTATAAAATGGGGCATGGTTTAAGATTGTGCGAACCCTCGATTTTTGAAACTAGTTTTTTACCAATTTAGGGAGGAAAGAAGAGAATTTTTGGTAAGTAAATGATATTGATTGATAGCAAGCATAGCACTCTTAAAAATATCTAAACAAAATCAGAAAATCATCAGTATCAATAATCAATTAAAATGTAGCAACTAATTTGGAACATAGGGAGTACTATTTTTCCTGAAATCAGCAACTCAAAAACTATCAGTGATTGGTTTCTAAACACTTTTTTATTGATTGCAGGATTATGTTTTTAAAATGTTTAAATTCCGTATTGAAGAATATTTTTTGGGTAAAAAAATTAATTCACTTACAAACTAAACTAGAACTTTAGGGGAAAAACTAAAAATTTCATTATTACAGAGAAAAATCTTCATCATAAAGCTTTGGTATTCATAGTCTCATACGTATCTACGATAAACGTACTTCCAAAGACATTACTTTCACTGTTTTAATGCAAAATTGCGTATAAAAATAGTAAATTTATATATTATAAATTCATTTAATAATGAATGTTATAGCAAAATTGAACGTGATATTCAGACCCAAATTGTTATTTTTAGGCTTGATATGGAGGGCTTATAGGCTTATAGTTATGTTAAAATTATCTGCAAGTTAAAATTAAAATATTAGCCAAAGGTATCTGTTGCAGATCCTAGTTCAAAGTTAAAGAAACAAACATTTGTTTGATAGTCCGTTTTGTAACAGTAAAACATCGTTTATACTAGTATCTAATTTCAACACTTTTTTCTAACTTATCTTTCGAGTTTACTTAGTATTTTTGTCTGGTATTTTTATTTTGTCTTAGTATTTTTGCCGGTGTCGTAACGTTATGCCGGATATCTTATAACTCCAGAACCTTTAGTGCTAGGGTTCTGAAATTTGGGCATCGACTACAATGATAAGAACAATTTTAGCCCTCGATCCTGAAAATCGTTAAAAAAAACTTTTATTAGTCCGTTTGGGAGAGATTTTTTTTGAAAAACTATTTTTCCTCATTGATTTTATATTAGCCATTGTTATAAACAAAGCAGTTATTTGATGTTATTCAAAATCCAAAGACTTTTCATTTGCTTTCTTTAAAAATTTCATTAAAAAAAGTCTTACATCACATTTTAAGATAAATTTTATAAGAAACGAACATTACATGGAAAATTAACTGAAGCTATTTCAATTCGATTCTTATAAGATCAACAGGGTTCCCGCAGGCCTTGAAAATTTTAAAAAATGGTAACGAAAATAAAACCGATGTCTATATTTTAATTTCTATGTAACCACCACTAAAAATTGTTTTCCAAAGAAAGTATATATGCATGAAAATTCCAATTTGCTAAACCACTTAAGGATAAAATGGTATATTAAAATAAGACATTTATTCTAGCATTAACCTAAATTTACTAATACTACAAAAAATTTTCAAGGACCACGGGAAACCTGGATCAAAGTCTCCACGGGCGACTTAAAATGCAAAAGTGATGAATTTATTAAAAAAAATTAAAATTAGCAACTTCTTATGGCATATTTCTTTCAGCAAATTTGAAGCTTAAGTCATAGTGGTGGTTACGATTGAGTAATTAAAGAGATAATAAATAAATAAAAGTGAATTGAGTTTCTGCCCTTTTTAACATTAATAATCACCTATGGCATCCTGTAAGTTACATGCAATTTTTTTATTTCTTATTTTTCAGCGCAACACCTTGGAAAAGTTATTATTATTATTATTTTTTTTTTAAAATTAAAATTATTTTATATAATAAGTATTGCACCGCTTTTTATTGTTACAATTCCGATGGCAAACTACGCACTATAAAAAGTATTGCATATTCGCAGGAATTAAATGAAAAAAATAATTTTATAACCCACCTTATTTTAAAATTTGCACGCAATATTTTTCAAATGTTACTAGACGCTTTCGATAGTAGGCCAATGACAGCTTATTTTTGTAGCTTCGCAACTTTATCTAAAATGTAAGATATCTCATTTTCTTTTCACTCCTGTCTGCATTCCAGTTACCAGAAAGAGCCACCTTAAAGATAAAACTAGAAGATGGATGGGAAAAGGGCCATTAACGGCCTCGGGCTCCCAGATAAATTTCGATGCCTTCGATAACGCAAAAATTTTCAGTTTATGCATTCATGAAGTTCTTTTCTTTTCATTGAAAGAACTGCTACCTAGTGCTTATACGTAAGAAAGAAAATAATTGGTAGCAGGAATTTTTCAGCTTTTCTGAAGCTGCCTCCCCAATTTCCAGAAATATTTTAGAGAAAAGTCGAGGACACAAAATATTTCAACTAATTGCTATTTAAATTTTGTAACGCAGATATTATTAGCTGTAATACAGATATTTAATTTGTAAATTAAATATCTGTATTACAAACTGTACATATCTGTATTATATTACTACAGCTAAAATTCCTATTCTGTATTCATAAAATTGATGACCATAAAATTTACGATAACTTCATAGAAAACAGTTGCCATCACTTTTTCTTAAAGTCTCCAGACTACGGTCACCCTGGGAATTTTTGGCAGGAATGTGACGCTTACCGCCACTCAAAATTAAAATCACGAGAAAGGGCTAAAATTAGATTTCTAGAACATCTCAAAGTCTTCGATTAAATGAAACTACCGTGGGAAATGTCCATCGGCAAATAGTAACTTAAATACGGATTGAGTAATTCAAATAAACAATTAGGTTAAATTCTTAGAATGCCACCCCTATCATGGGACTAACTCGAAAACACCATTAACTTTTGAACTTACCTTTCCACAAATTTGTAAGTTCTTATCACGCAAAAATAGTGACTATAAAAGCAGCAGAAGGAAAGGGTTAGGGGAACAATCAAAGTGAGTCTACTCTAGGCAGATACCGAAAGTAAACCACCATGAATAAACTTGTTAAGTCTCTCCACCTATTCTAAAACAATTTAAGCACTAAGGTTATAATGCTAAAATGGTTTAATTGAAAATGAAATATTATTTGTTTAAATTTAAGACGAGTAAATTTCCTTTATTTAATTTAATTACAAAAACTAAATGATACGGCCTAAAAGTACCA